CAAGGTAAGTTGCTATTCTTTACTTTAGGCGAGAGTGCTTTGACGTTCAAAGTTCTAACCTTAATTACGTTTGTTTACATTGTAGCTGAGATAAGTAAGAATTAAATTGGAATTCCGATCGCTACCCCATTTTGAAAGTACGACCAGTGTTTCCGGGACAAGGTAACCCAAGTACTAATTTAAATTTGCTTCCAAGCGTAGTTAATTATTTATTAGGACAAACACCTAACTGAATTTAAGGTAAGTCGGTGCAAAAATTGTACAATAGTTGACTAACCAATAAATATTCCTAAAATTGATTTATAAATATACTTTCTATTTTTTTTTAGTGTTTTACTGGCGCATGTGCCATTTGTGTTTAGAAGGATGCGAAGTAAAGACGAGAGCTGGAATATAGAGGAGATGAAGCCAATTACCATCCCTTTCACATTTCTATATACGCCTATTATTTGTACCTGTTAAAATTATGTAAATTATAATTGCTGGATTAAACTTAGTTATTTAACTAAACGCAATTTTTTGATTTGGGCTAAATCTAGCCTGTAACAAAGAGAAAGGAAGTGAACTTCAATTAAGAGATTTTTAAATAGTCGTGAAAGTGCCAATGTGCTGACAGTGGAGAAACCTTCATAGTTTCGTTGCTAGACTGTTGTAGGGCGCTGAATATAGTCATGACCGTTTGTGGTGTCACTCTGACACGCTGACAAAGCAGTGTTGTGAACAGCAGTACATTTGTACTGAAAAATTCGATTCATTATGAATTAAGAAATAGGGCTGAATAGAAAGGCATATAAATAGGGGTTTGCCATAGCGGAGGACCGTACCGGCAGACATTTGTTTTTAAAAAAAAATCCGAACAAATTTAGTATTTTTCAATAACAATACACTAAAAATGTTGTTTTTTTCAGCTAGAGATTAGAAAAATTCTTGAATTACGAAATTTTAGACTAAAATGTTAGAGACAATAAAAAGATTTTATTTATGTGAAGAGATATAGAGTAGAACGGTAGTGCTCAGATCCTGCTAAAGTAATTCTTGTGGCGGCAATTTCTTCCTAATGAGACGCGTTCAAAGAGCGTCGACAGAAGTACTTCAAGGTAGTATCCAGGGATCCCAATTTGTATGCGTCTTGGAATGACAGTAATTTTTATAATTACACCAACGATAATCGTCATTTTTGAGAATAACTTTTAGATTGACAGAGTAAAAGTGATTGTAATTTTTTGATGCCTGGGCCTATTTACATTTCGACAACTTGTTACTTATTAGCATAGAAAAGCGTATGAAGCATTAAAACGAATTTATTCCCATTGCTTATCGCCTGAAACCAAAAAACTTCTCTGTAACTCCTTAGGCTCAACACGAGACGCAGTAGATAAAAGATGTGTACAAAAACTTCAAAACTCATGACTAAGGTTAATTTATGAAATACGAAGTCATCGCCACATTTCGGTATCATAGTACAAAAAGGAACTTTTAAGAAGAGCTTACTCACAATATTGTGAATTTAAATAACGCTTTATTCTGAACTTGACTTTGTCATATGTCTAGCTACCAAGCTATCTGGGAAACTCCGTAGGGCAGCAGGGTTGACAGAACGGAAGAAGAAGAAATCAACGCTACAACTAGCTTATATTAAATTAATGTTAATAATATAACAGTTTAAAATAACTTTCAAAGACTCACAGACCTCATATTAACATACATGCGCTACTAAAGACGAAGGTTAAGAGACAACAAAAAATATTCAGATTTTCACAGTTTTTAATACTTTATGATAGCTGTTTCGGCAACACCCTGCCTTTATCAAATACAAAATATTCCGACACTTATATATAAAAACAGGTACTAATATATTTTTAATTATTGGTATAGGATACTTTTTACAAAGCTTCTGGATTCCTCCTACTAATATATTTTTAATTATTGGTATAGGATACTTTTTACAAAGCTTGTGGATTCCTCCTACTAATATATTTTTAATTATTGGTATAGGATACTTTTTACAAAGCTTCTGGATTCCTCCTACTAATATATTTTTAATTATTGGTATAGGATACTTTTTACAAAGCTTCTGGATTCCTCCTACTAATATATTTTTAATTATTGGTATAGGATACTTTTTACAAAGCTTCTGGATTCCTCCTACTAATATATTTTTAATTATTGGTATAGGATACTTTTTACAAAGCTTCTGGATTCCTCCTACTAATATATTTTTAATTATTGGTATAGGATACTTTTTACAAAGCTTCTGGATTCCTCCTGCGCCGGTTTCTGCTGAGTCGAAATTGCTGACGTTTCGCCAATCATCCTGTTGGCTTCTTCAGAGCTCGACTGAAACTGGAGTAAGCAATTTTGACTCAGCAAAAACCGACGCAGGAGGAATCCAGAAGCTTTGTAAGTAGCCTGTGGAAGTTTCCTTGAAAAATTATAGGTATTAAGTAATAAATTCGAATATGTCATTTTGTTAATCTCCCTAGCTTCCAACAAATTTAGTTATTTGCCTTTTGTTGTGCTTTTCTGGATTTAAATAAATGGCATAATTAGAATCCGAACTTTTATTTTTATACGCCCTTTTATGTTCGTTAATGCGTTTCTTAAATTTTCTATCTGTTTGTCCAAAAAGAGTTTTTCGTAATTTAGTTTTATTGTTTTTTAGAAAATGCCCTATGGTGTTTTCAGTTTTAAGAGCAATATTAATACCAAATTTAGATAGATGTTTCGAAATTTTCTTGCTAGGTTCTCCTATGTATTTTATTGTTTTATAAATTTTGTTTTCGGTGTTTAACATGAGCGACTCAAGACGAAAGGGAGAGTGAAAATAGGTGCAATTAAGTAAAAAAGAAAATTTAATAAAAATTCTTAGCAGGATCGACAACCTCATCAATATTGCTTTTTTTTAATAATTAAATTAAATAAAATTAAATTAAAATCTCCATAACTGCCGAAACCTCCATGTTCGACGGACGCCATGGAAAAATAACCGTCGAAGTTCGCGGAGATGCCGCGTGTATTCACGGACCGAAAGGCCTCGCGTTATTGCGTTGGGAGGGGGCCGGGAGGAATTTATCGCCCGACCTTAATTGAAACTATGGGGGAGATCGGATTGAATCCGATGATTTACGTTCGCGATTTTAACCGGGCCGGTTAAATGAGTCCCGATTAAGTCCGAAAATCGCCCGAGCCGACTTATTTCGCGAATTGAACACAATACATTGTTGGTCCATTGTGGTCGTTGACGACCGCGGCGAACGATTCTATTCTGTGCTATTGATTGGATCGCGCGATATCGAAAGTAGGGTTTTTCATATGTACCGCTGACTCACATGATGACATGGCAACGTGGCTAGGGTTTGATTGCGGAGGATTAAAAAGAAGAAGAATAATCGCAAGGCAGTGGGAACAGTAAGCATTTATTAATTCATCTGAAAGACTATGTATACAAAATACACAATGACATTACGGGATCGTCAACAAAGAAAACTAAGTATTGAAAGTAACAAGCATAATATTACACAGAGACAGACTTTTATACATGTAAAGTTAGGAAACATATTAGGAATTTTATATTTTCATTTTTAAAAAATTCTTCCACTGAATAGTAGTTTTCATTTATCAATAAAAAAATTTTTTTTCGAAGTTTGCTGTACAATCGACATTTTATACCCACGTAGTTCTGATCTCGTGCGTTTAGGATCTGTTAATGATTTTTTGGTTATGATTGTGAACATTATCAAAAAATAAATATAGATAAACGGAAAAGTCAATATACCGATATGTTTAAGAAGGTCATAACTCGTGACGAATCATGGCGAATATCAGAGCCCAGTCGTCCCAATGGAAGAACCCAGACCGAAAATAGCACGTCAAGTTTGATCAAATGTCAAGATTTTGCTCACTGTTTTCTTTGACTGTCGTTTGACACCCTTTACGAGAAGCAATACGAAGAAAACGTCCAAAATTGTGACAAAACAACTCATGGATTTTGCATCACGATAATGCACCTGCTCACTCGTCGTTGCTTGTGTCTAACTTTTTCGTCAAAAACAAAAGCATAATTATGCCTCAGGTACCATATTCACCGGAAATGGCCCCATGCAACTTTTTCCTGTTCTCAACACCCAAGAAACTCATGAAAGGAAATAGGTTTAACTTTCCCAGAGGCTGTTTTGAAGCTATGACAAAAAAGCAAAAAAATTTGTTACTCAGATAACAAATAACAATTAAATGCAATTGCTAACTGGTAAAATAATCATGTAATTCAATCAACAGTTTAAGGTGGCCGAATTTTTGTCAAGGAGTGTATCAAATGCTTTATTTCTTTTTGCTATTTGTAGGTATTTACGTGCAAAAAGTAAACTACATAGCACTCACATTATGAACATTTTTTATTAGTTATTATTATATAACAATACTAAATTATTATAGCAGGATATTAGACATACCACGACCAATCTCCGATTAATTGAAGGAAATAATAATAATAATAATAAAACAGTCACACTGCTAATTTTATAAACATTTTTGTTGGTTATCGTTAATTTAACGGCAATTTCAATGTTTTTTATTAATGAAAAATTGTTTTAAGGAAAATCAACTAACAATTCCAAAGAAAATATTCCAAAACTTATTAAGTATAATTTTAAATTAATAGCTTTGAGGAGAAACATCTATACGTCACAAAGATAAAAATTACCGGGGTAGGTAAATAGCGTATTATCCAAAGAAGGGGCCGTAATGCCGACAAAGTAATACTTTCACGTGCTTCAATTTCCTCGTAAGTACTTTTCGGTTTATATTTTGCCGCGAGCCCATAAGACGGGAATATCAATTTATTCCTCGCTTTGAGGGCGCGTTAAAAAATTTACGGCATTCGCATTACGTAAACAGCCCGCGGTTATCGAATTTCCAGACCCGTTCAAAACGAGAAACGAAACTTCAAATCAAGTTTTTGTGGACGAAAATTACAAAATAATTTTTACGATACTATATCTTACCGTGTAATTATTGCCTGGCATCAGTCTAACATTCTATATCTTGCTAAATTACAACGCGGCAATAAGACGCAACGTGACACGATAAACGGCAACCCGCGTTTCATCGAAAAAGAAAGTTCGCAAACTGAAGATTCGAATTCCGCGCGTCAGTGTGTCGGCGTGCTTCGGGCGCACACCGCGACCCCACAACGCAACAGACTGACAACGGCGACTGAAACTGAAAATCGCCGGAAAACATTCAAGGGTGACTTGATTCGCCGGTACGCGCGCACAGGGATTTGCGCCCTGCTGTCAACTGTCAAATTTATCACGACCATCATTGGCGTTGTACCATAGTTAAAGAAAAGAAACGAATGTTTATGTTTTATTGGAGAAGAACAAGTTTATTATAGCTTGGATTACAACCGCTTATAAAAAGTTTAAACATCGCGTCACCTGATTTGAAGTGTTTTAGAATTTCGTTTGCATCCAGGTCTTTTTTAAAGTTTCGGATCATCCAGTGTAAACTTTATAAACTTTAGCTGCCGAAACACGTTTTGGAGTTGTGTCCTTTGCTATAAAAATTACAATAGGGGGGTTGTTTGTGTTAGACCGCTTGTCGAAACTACGTTATTTGCATTTTTAAATAAAAAAAAAAAATACCACAGCATAAAGTGTAATTGCTTAATTCATGTAACTGTTGAATTTCTAGTTACTTGTACTATTAATACCATATATTAGTAACAAAATTACTACGCCTATGAGACTTGCCGCATGTTCGTATTATGGCAGTAAAATTTAGTTCACACTCCAATCACGCAGCACAGGAGGAACAATTTATTTCTATTACCCATGACCACCTAGTTACGCAATTACATTTAGTTTTGTCACTTAGTTCCTTGGGGAGTCGAATATTCTAAGCTTATGGTTGAGGGTTTTATAATTTTGTAGAATTATATAAAAACAAAAACCCACCAGTTATTTTTTATTAAAATTGATATTTTCTCCAGGATACGCCCAAAATAATCAATCAAAATTAGCCTGGCTTCACATACAATATCAAAACAAAACAATTACAAACTTCCACCTACACTGGTCACTAACAACTATGTGAAATTTAAGATTGAAATACATCATTGCAGTATTACTAATAATTATAAACAAATTTTCACAAAAACTCCTTTATCACGTTTGAACCTTTCAATCGTCGGCTCTAGCACTGTCCATAGCCTCTTTAAGGTTCTTCTCGAATATCTTTTTGGCGTCTGAAAATCCGTGCTTGGTTTTACCGAACGAATTAGGTCCCGACGACGTGGGCGTATCCCTAAAACGAAACCAAATCCATGTACGAATTTAATAATTTTCACAATAAACTAACCTCCCAATATTCCTCATACGCATTCGTGCTTCCGGTGGCATCTGTTCTGGTTCTTCATCGCTATCCTGATTAAATGCGGCGGCTACGCTCAACTTGGGTTTAGTATCGCCCCCTGATTTTGTTGAACCGAGCTTCATCTGAATGCTCATGCTTTTCAGTCGATTCTTGGCTGACAATCCTACATTGTCTAGTTTTTTATCAGGCTTCTGCTCTTTGAGCCTAGGCGAGCGCGACCTGGACCTCTCCTTCCCTAACAAACACTGACAAATTTAAAGACTACATTAGAAATCGATCGTCGGAAAACACAAACATGCAAAACACCCAGTCTGTGGAAGCAATTTTCCGCGCATTTTTACCCCGACTCATTACCGTTGGTTGGTTTATTTCTATCTTGCGGTTCCTTGCTGCTCATATTAACATCTGATTTTGCCACTTATTTTCCAATGAATGATTTTTTAAATGACAAAACCTATTTTAGCTTTGCCAATAACAAATCCATTTTCAACAATATGACGTTTATCTTCTTTCCAAGGGTTTTTATTCTATGATTTAAAAAATGAGGTTATAGTCTACGACCGAAAGATAATGTAGAAAGTTAACTGCATGAATACATAGATAACCAAATATACATCCCGTATCTTTTTAACAAAAAAATGAAACAAAAAGCTTTTTATCGGTTTTTATTTCAAAATTCTTATGGAAATACTTTTTTTTTTCGTTTTCTGGCATTTTCTTTTAACAAAGGGCATGCAACAAGATGTACGTAGATACAGAAAATGTTAGTAGATATTAAATGGAAAATATTAGTAAATGAAGGGAGAGTAAAAATAAATTTATAGGCAAGAAAGGGTACGGGTCACTTTTAAAAATGAAGACGGAAATTAAAGCTTGGAAAGGCAACAGAGTCTTTGGTCCATCAGTCAAGATAACACGTGCGACAACAACAAGTGCTATTTAAAGGATAATTATTCAGTTATTTGGTGATTAGCAACTGGCAAGATTTTGCTTACAATTTAAAAGAAAGAAACGTGATGAAACAAAAAGCAAAATCCCGAACAGACGTAAAGGGCTGATCAATTTCTTCTTAGTGGTCGACATGGACAGGAAAGTCGGCATACCACCCAAAGGCTCCATGATCTCCTGTGTGTGCACCAAAATCTACCACATCGTGGTGGTCATGTCCCCCGGCTTGTCTTTGCTGTCGCGCCACCCCTTGCTCTTCGCCGTGCTGTGGATAGGCAACCACCAAAGCGCAGACCATCACGAAGACATACAAGAACATTCCTATCTGAAAATTCATGTTTTTTTATAAGGGATTTTTAAAAATCTATAAATAATATAGATAATGCAACGATATATCAATAAGAAATTGTAGAAAATTAAATAAGTTTACTTACAAATTTCATCTTTCAGGTGCGTTTGACAGCTGCGTTATTGACTGGGAAAGTAAGAAATCTCTTATTTATATCAACAGAATAAACTTTCACTTGCAACAAAACAATATCAAGTTTTGTTAAATTTTCAAACAGCCGTTTTTGCTTATTTAATTCAACGCTACTGAATCGGGTACTGTGGTCAGGCGCTAAATTAGAAACCGTTAAATATAATTTTGCGGCGAGACTTTTACATTTTGTTCACAAAAAAACGCAATCATATACGCATCAGCGATTTCTCCGACGAAATTTGAATTTTCCCGCGCTCACGTTTCCGTCATTGATGCCAACAGTGGACCCTAAAATGTTTAAATCCCTTTTCGGTGTTTCTCTTTACATCCTGTGAAATAAAGGAACGTTGCAATGGTAATTTTTTGTTGTTTTTGGATTTATTTGGGGGCGTTTTTGAAATTATTTTGTAAATCAATGGAATTTAAGCTTATAATAAAGTAGAATTTAGTAAAGGGCAGTGGTGTATGGCGGTTTTCCAATTTAACCTCAAATTGCCAGCAGCATGGTTATGCGTAAAATTGTTCGTGTTTTAGACCTGCAAGCGAAGAAATGGTGGCCGTTCGAAGCACGGAAGAGGCCACGTCAAACCAGTGCGTTGTACTAACTGCGCTAGATGCGTACCCAAAGATAAAGCCATTAAGAAGTTCGTGATTAGGAACATTGTTGAAGCTGCCGCCGTGAGGGATATTACTGAGGCCTCAGTTTACACGCGTAAGTTCCATTTTTTTATCGGTACCACGAATTTCTCAAAAATTACGAAAGGGCACCTATTACAGTAATTTAATATATTTTTCTTCTTTCAGAGTATGTGCTGCCGAAGTTGTATGCCAAACTTCATTATTGCGTCTCATGTGCTATCCACAGCAAAGTGGTGAGGAACAGGAGCAAGAAAGACAGGAGGATTAGGACTCCACCTCAACGCAACTTCCCCGGCCGCGACAATAACAGACCTCAGGCAGCCGTGCGAAAATGAATTGTAATTTAAGAGAATAAAGTCAAGGTTTGTTAAAACTAATTTATTTTTTTGTTAACGGTTTTGGGTTTCAACATTTCGTTTATTATCAAAATAATATAAAGGCACATGCGGGATGAACTAATATCAAACCAAATTACATTTAAAGAAACATTTTATTTCTTCATATATTAAGTTGTAATACTGTAACAATTTTTTACATTTTCTTAAAATTTTATTTACTACTAAGTCCTGGTTTGCTGGTACAGTTTGTTCTAAAATAGGCTGGCATTTGCCAGTGATCGGGTCGGGTACTGTATGTAATGTAATGTTTTTGGAATGAAGGTTGGCACATTTTTAATATTTTATCATTATCATTCTACCAGGACCGCTCAGGAGAATAAAAACTGCCGCAAAGCCTCTTAGAGAATCACATTGGTAAAGATATTTTGGAAGTTTTCAACTTATTTTCTAGAGAACCTTATATTAGTTTTTGGAAAAAGAATAGGCCATATAATTTCTAAATAGGTATTACCAAAGACATTAAACCACAAGAGAGACCTGTATTCCTACAACTCATGCAATCAAAAAGTAGGTCTGTCTCCCAATATCAATCGGTAAGGAAATTTTCACACTAACCTGTTTCGATAATATGAAAATTATCATGTGGATATTGACTCTATCTAATAGTTTTGAGAGATACCAAGCGGGATGAATGACTTGTTGGGTCTTCCCTTTAGTTTAATGTCTTTGAAAGATAGAGTACTTTCGCTCCAATGGCTAACTTGAACCACACACGGAAAGTTTGATTTGTAGCGGAAGAATTACGGTCTCCAACCCATTATCACTTTTTTAAACGGCACGAACAGCCCGTGGCAAGGCTCGCTGCAAAAAAAACCCTTAATCGCTCGCCGATTCAGCAAGGCCCCTCGGGTCACTCACCAGAGGAAGTACCTCCGGTTACCATAGGTGCCGTCGCTGACGCCATCGGGACCGGCCAATTGCACCCCCACAAAGTGTTCTTGGCTCTGGGTAACCATGGGGCCCACGTACCTAACCCTGCCGCCCCTCACCCTTCCCTCGGGGGTGATCACCTTTACCCAGTGATCCGGTTTCAAGTCTCTGGGCAGACGAGGCAAGAACGGCTGCCACCCTATGGGCGGCACGTTGTCCCTCGACGGCTCCGGGGCCGAAGCCCTACGAGGCACTGACCTTTTGGGCTCGCTTGCAGAAAATAACAACGGAAAAAAAATTGGGGTGGGCGGACATCTGGGAATGTGCAGTTATTTCTTTTGGTCAGTGAGAATGGTAGATTTTTAAGGGCACGGGCGTTTTTTTACAAATATATCATATAAACTTTTTAATTTTTCACCCGCAAAGCAAAGAAATATTTGGAGAGGTTAGGGAATTGTACTGGGAACTGTGTCTAACCTCGAATATGTGGCGGACATCTCTCTGCCGGACACGATACAATCAATAGACCTCCTCAAATAACTCTCAGCTTCTTCGACGAGCGAATCAGTGCTGTCCCCGCTGTCCACGGTGGTCCAGTCGCCCCTCAGCTCGGGCAAAGACCCGTTCGCGAACCTAACCTTTAAAACGCGGAATGCAAAAGATGTTGGTACCGCCCCCCGCTTACCTTGGAAGGTGTGGGTCTTAATACGGCCCTCCGAGATGGCGATACCGGCGCCGAACATCTCCTCGAAGGGGCGGGAGGCGAAGACAGGGGGTAAATGCTGCTGTAACGCGAGTGAGTCTGGCTGCACTCGCTGGGGGTGGCAGTGGTGCCTGTCCACGTGAATTTTTGCGACTAAAATACGAGGCAGATTGACCGACGAGTCGCGTATAGGCGTCGGGCGGGCTTACGTTACATCCGGGTGAATAGAGGTCGGTAGTGCGCAAAAACTGACCGTATGTAGTGACGGTGGGCGGCTTCAGGTTGCCGGGGCATAGGTGATCGGCGGACCTCGAAAGTTCGGGGACCATGCTGGTGAAACCGATGTCCGAGAGTAGAACCCGACGCGCCTCCACCGTTTTCTCGGACAGTCTGAGCCGGGTGCCCGGCAAAGGGAATTTCGAAGGGAGGGTGGTGAAATTTTCACCTAGGCGGGCCTGCCAACGGGTATGGTTTGGTTCAAATTATACCGTGAAGGGGGGTGGGGGGGCTGCTTACTTTGCTCGCCAGGCTGCTCTCGGACCTCCACGATGAACCCGGAATAGCTGAGATGTCGGTTTGAGCGCCTGAATCGCGTCTAATAGCATTCGAATGGGTCAGTATGGGCCTCGCTTTTCTCGGGTTGAGTCCTTTCGAAATCGCTTCCCTTGTGCAAAAAAAATAATGGTTGTTTTTTTTTTCACGACGCTACGTCACTGCATTAAAATACGCACTTTTATCTCGAACACTGACGTAGCAGTATTTAACCTGTTGTTTAGCATACAGAGTTTGAAATATTATTAATTTTATGTCATAAGCCTTACGAGAAACGTAGAACAGAATTTAGTACAACAGTGGTCTTTAGAAGGGAAGCAAGAAGAATAATAGTTATAATTATAATACGTATTAAGCGTTTCTCATTTTATTATAGTTGTGACGGAAAATACTGAGTCTGCAACAAACAATTTTCTCGATATTTAAAAACGGCGATTTATAATGGCCGAGGAGTCATTTTTACGACAATGAATTGGGATCAGGTTATTGCCTAATCCAGTATAAACTAGTTCCAGTTATTAATGGCGTGGAATTAATTGAAAATGCAGCTGGATTTTACCCACACACACACATCTTTTCTTTTTCTTTAATTCGGGTGACATTTTTATATAATCTAAAAATAAACTCGTTTAGATCCGCTTATTTTTTTTAAGGTGTTTTTAAGTTATCCTGAAAAAAAAAGACGTTATGAAAAGTTTTGTTTAAAAAAATATAAGAAAAAATCAAATGATTTTTAATTTTTGTTTATTAATTAATATTATATTTTATCATTAATTTTTTAGTTTCTAACTAGCCAAAAATTTTTTTTTCATTTTATTCATTCTTTCAGTTTTCTTAATTCTATTGCATTCAATTTGGATTATTTGATTGGGGTATCGAATATTTGAATGAATTTACTGCCACCTTTTCATTCAATACAAATCGACCTTAGATCAAAGTCAATTAGCGTCACATACCTGTGCGGTAGGGGTCTGTACTGGATAGGATTGGGACACGTGTTCCTCCTCCCACCCACATATTCGACTTCATGAATCCCAACTTTGGAGATGTCGGTCTCGACGATTCTTATCCTCTCCTCGAACCGATCGAAACTCTCATCCTTCTCCAACGATTTGTTCTCGAAACTCGAGTCTTGATAAGAATAGTAACTTTTTAGGCTTTTCTCCTCGTGGTTGATCGAATTGTCCGACTTGGAATTGAACATTGAGTCCTCGCGTTTCACCGGAAAACTCGACATCTCCGGGTTTTCATTTTCGTCGTTGAAAACGTCATCGTCCAGCTCCTTATCTGATATCTGATCGATGTCGCTCAACGGCATGTGTAACAGGTTCGAGTTGGAGGACTCCCTCAAATCGATGGGCACCAATTGCTCTTTAAAATCCTGCTCTTTGGTGTCGTCGGTGGTGAATATTAATTCTATATCGTCCACCTCCTGTTCCAAATCATTCTGCGGGCTCAGCATCTCGTCCATATCGGTTTCATCGTATTCCTCTTTTTTATCATCCATCTCGGGCGCCTGCAGGTCTTCGCGGGCTCCGCCCCCGTCGAATTCCTTTTTAAATTGAAACTCCCTGGTCGTGGTCGTCAAATTTGAAAAACTTATCGTTTTGGTGAAGCTGAATTTCTTGTCGGCCGGCGCCTTCACCACCGTCAGGCTTTCGAGCGACCTCGAACACTTATCGCCGTGGCTTTTTCGCGCTTTGACGCGTATTTTCGCTACCAATCTTTCGCAAGACTTTTTCGGTGGCACTATGGTTACGTGTTTAGGTTTCTCATCGCCTAACGCTTCCGCCTGGGCGCCAGCTCGCTCGTCTTCGGTCTTATCGACAACAGTTTTACGCAGCACATGATTTTCGACGGACAAATTACCTAAAGTATCCCGTATCGGCTCGACGGGCGTCGTTTTCGCTTTCAGTTCCAAAATTTCCCTTTTGCTCTGCTCGAGGGCAGCCCTCAGCGCCACTATAGTCTGGTGCAGCGCCCTTACCGTGTCTAAACCCCTAGCGCGGGATAGCGCATCCCCAAAATCCATTCCGGAAACGATCTCCCATCCATACTGGGGCTTATTTGTAGATCGAAACGGGGCCGCGGTTACTCGATACGTCGAGACACTACTTCATGCTGACCCAGATGTCGGCCGCACGAAACCACCACCACTAATTAAAGTGCAATGCCGAACATCGATCACGTAGAAAATTGTAAACCGAGGAGGATATGAACGATAGGCCCGGGTAACGCGATAAACAAACCAATTAAATCGGCCGGAGCGTTTGTCACGAATTTAATTCGTATTCCCAAACAAACGCAATCGATACGCCGACGTCCGTGGGAGTCATTTTTTCGACAGCAACCCCGGGAATTCTGGCGGACGATTGTCGACGTGACGCGCCGCTTCCGTCGCGTTCCGTGGTCCATGACGCGGTTGGCGACGTACTTCGTTACTTGACGACCGATCGTCCGCCGGTTTTGATTGATACAAAGTGGGGTTAGGTTTTTAATTTTCGATTGAATCCTGATTACGGTTGACTTAAGAACGGTAAACCGATTAGGATAGATGGGTGTCGCAAGGGGGTGTGACGCACTATCGCCCACTTTGTCAAAAGATTCTGTTTAAAGCTTTAGCTTTTGCAGAAGCAATGCCTAGAATCATATGAGCTCTGTATGATACTGTACTAATACACAATAATCGATAGTGACAAAGTGATTAGAGTGTTATGAGTCTTTGTTTTATTTTTCTCACCTCACCATTTTAGAAATCCCAAGTGTCCAACTAAAACGCGGATGGCCTATTTCGTGGCCACCGAGAAGTCTCGAATTAACGTGATGGATTTCACCTTTGAGAAGACTTCATTTATTCAGACAGCTTTGATTAAGATATGTAATTTTATTAAATACTTTTATTGTTTAATAACAGCATAAAAATAACGCGCAAAACTTGTTTCGAGTGGTCCATTTGATGTCGTTTTGGTTTCCCCAGAAAAGATTGTATGACGGAGGACAACCTATGGAGACCTTGTTTTAGGATTTCTGGGGTTATTTTTTTTGATGTCGCAAAAAAGGAACCAACCAACTTATTGGTGTGATGTTGTGATCGATCGTTTTTTTCCTTAGAGCTTATTGTGACGTAATTTTTGCATAATTTCATCTGCAAAGTATACCGAGACTTGCACTTAAGCGAGAGTAATCCTGACGAGGTCCGCTTTTTCAGTCGGTTACGACCAGATAGGCGCGAGTTTTCGATCTCGCGGAAGCGCGTTTGCCAATTTGCATACGCGACGGTGACGTAATTAACTGACGCGGAAGACGGCGACAGCGCCGTTTACTGCCGCGGTAAATTGAGTTTTTGCCGTCACCAGTTTCAAATTGAATTCGTCTCGGCGGCGGAAATTAAAAACCGCGATAGGCGTTTTTAATCTGAAAGTCGACGTCGTATACGGGGTGTTATCGAATTGGCATCCGATAATAAATACTCGTTTTTACGGTTTCAGCCTAGGATTCGAGAAAAATAGCTTTATAGAAAAGCAACATCAAAGAAAAAGCTTTGGGAAGGAGGAAAGGTTTTCAATTGAGTTAGAAATGGGAGAATAAACAAGTATATGCTGTTTTATTGGTTATATTAGTGCAGGGGTCGGCAACTTTTTCCGGACGGTCGGTCATTTTCATAGTAAAACTTTTTAAGCGGGCCGCACTTTGAAATGTAACTTAAATAGAGCTTTTATATGATAAACGAGTACAAATATTATAAAAAATAAAAATAGAAAAAAAAATTTTCATCGTGTCATTTACCGCACTTGTTGCATAATATACTATTATCTTTCATTTTATTCCTTCATTAATATTGTTTGACAATTCATTTAGGTCCTGTTGTGTTTGGGATACTGAGATCCTCAACAAGTTTCGTAAAGTTTATCCGTCAACCGAGTTCTATATTTTGATTTTATGAAATTAATTTTGAAAATGTTTGTTCTCATAAACAGATGCTTGAAAAAATAAAAATCATTGATTTTGAAATTTTTTTTTAATTGGAAAATTAATTTTCTGGTAGATTTGAATAAAATGCAATTAAATTATTTTCATTCAAATTATTTATATATACATTGTCAGATTACAAATCCATTAATTCTAGTTTATAGACTATCTGGTGCGTCCTACAATATCAAACCGATGACGAAAATTTTCATCCGGTACTGTGACTCAGTAATAATATTAAAAGTACATTTTTTGTCGTTTTTATTTTATGATGGTCACTTTTGATTTCTGTAAATAGCTCGTTGATTGACTTTTGCCTTGTAGCATTATATTTAATTTATTTTAATTTATTGAGGTAAGTTGTAATGTCCACAAGAAAAGCTAACTCTTAAAATTCGATAATCCTAGTTTAGTATTAACGTTTTCTGTCAAAAACATTTCAATCTCTGCTATCAACTCGAAAAATCTTTTTAAAACAGAAAAAATAAATTGAACATCCGTAATGTTCAATGGTTCATACCGTTTTTGTGAATATAATTGATGGACTTTACTACAATATTCATAACATTTTCCAAATTATACTTATACAATAAAGTTGTAGAGAAGGTTGCGTAATATTTAATTATTTCAATTTTTTTATTCATCAAGCCTACCAAACTAGTATTCTGACCCCGTCATATTCTTTGCACCGTCAATTTTTAATTTTTAATTTTTTCCCACTTGATATAGTACGTATTAAAAACATCTAATAGTATCTTCATCGCTTGTCTTCTCGTGCAGGCTTTTTAGTACTGCAAGTTCTTCTGTTACACAAAATTGTTTATCAATTCCACGGATAAATATCAATAATTGAGCGGTGCCGGTTATCTCGTTGCTTTCATCAAGTTCTAGTGAGATATATTCCAATTTTAAATATTTTTCTTTAATTTAATACCTCGTACGTGCAGACAATAATATCTTCAATTTTTTTTTCTGGACAAATTTCGTTAACAGCAGCAAAAATTCATTTTCAATTAACTATCCATCGGTTTGTTATGTTCAGCAATTAATTTCAAAATTCACCAATACTAAACTTTGCTCCTAATAATACTTATAGTTTTGTTGTTCTTCTAATGATTTTTGTAAAGAATCAATTTTATTTTGTCAGAATTGAGATTCAACTTCATTTGACGTTAAGGACATATTTGATGTTATTCTCGATTAAGTAGTTGTCAAATTTCAACTTCAACATTGGAAACTACATCTAGATAGCACAGTATTCATCGCTGGCTATGACATTGCTTTTTACGAAACTCTCGCGTCGAATTTGCTGACGTTTCGCAATCATCTTGTTGGCTTCTTCAAAGTTTGACTGAAACTGGCTCGCATTTTACTCTCTACCTGCTTATATATTGTTTGAGGGGGGCGGAGCTAAATGAGGGCATAAACGCCGTCTCGGATGACTGGTTCCCATATTGGTGACAGTCGCGGTTAAGATTATCTAAAATTTTATGTCCGGTTTCGTGATTGTGTTCGGCAACTGCAAATGTATTCTTTGACGCATATGCATGGAATGCTGTAAACTACTAGAATCTCAAATGGAATTTTGTCCTTGTCGGACCGAAGATGTTGAGAGATTTTTGGACAAGTGGTAAATCTGGTTTTGGCGTTATACTTCTTTAGAACTTTTGATATGTGGTCAGTGATTTTTTGAATGTAAGGAAGGACCACAGTGGCAAGTGTAGGATTGCTTTCGGCTTCATTGCTATTGGAAGGTCGTGGCGAAGTGTATTTTTTGATCTTACGGCTTTGTAAACAATAGAGTTGATAATCGATGATTTTTGATCAAGCTCTGAAGAAACCAACAGGATGATTGGCGAAACGTCAGCAAGTCCAGGCAGGAGGAATCCAGAAGTTTGTAAAAAGTATTACAGTAACCTGTGGAAGCTTCTTTGAAAAATTAAGTAAGAACTTCGATATTTTCCCGGTTTCGAACTAAAATATTTAGTTCAAAATAAATACAAACCAATGTTTTACGCCTTTAGCCAAGATTTAACGCAAGTATTGCTCTATATTCGGCAACATTGTGTTGTTTAAAACGTTATCGTCAGTCTGATAAGGGGATCCCAGACGGCGACGTATTTGACAGAATGATATCTACAAAAAATGTTTTTTCTTTCTGAATTGAATTGAATATTGATTCGGTTTTCCATAACACCCTGTAAAATAATTACCTCCGCACGCCAATAATTTTATCGGGCCGCCGGTTTTTGTGTGGTCCGTGGCGGCTCTCGTCCGTTTACCATTTTTACTGAAAATTAATTCAACCGCTTTGTTAGTTTCGCCTTATCCGGACTGGGCTCGACATTTTTACGTACACTTGCGCGCGTCGTTATATTTTAGTACCCGACCGTCTCGCAAGGTACATAATTTAGAAGATCGATTTATCTATGTGACGGTTTAACGACTTGGTAAGTTGCGCGTCACGCCGCCAGAGATCCCGATTTGGTAAACGGATCAGCAGAAAGAACGGCCGTTGTGATTTCGTTTTTGTTTTATGTTCGCGGCAAAAGTGAAGGGACGGCCTTCGGCTGCAAACCCTAGAGCTTTTCTTCACGTTAATTATAGATAAATACACTGAAAAACATTTCATGATAGATTGCATGATAGCCAAAGGTCGTTTGCCCCAAATTTTGACTAGATAATCAAAAATGCAGGCATTCAGTATTATACAGGTTGTCGTGGACACTCCGATGCCAAATCAAAATTTTGTTTTGCCAAATTCAGATTAAAAATAGAAAATTTCTCGTTTCGTTCGACTGAGGGTGCGGTTTGAGATTTTTCGGATAGAGTGACAGTGAATAGACAGCAAAATATGAGTTAAATCACTAACACATAATTTGTTAAGTTTTGGTTAGTTTTGTCAATAACCCAGGATACCTGCTCGAATCTTTCAATTATGTTAATTTACGACGAATGGCAGATTTCAGTTGGTGCCAAACATGTTCCATGGGATTAAATATACAGTGGTAAGGTGGAAGCCTTAAGACTGTATGCTCTAGATTTTTTGCATAATTACCACAGACGTATTCATTTTGTAGGTTCAAGCTTTGTAGAACACCAATTAATTACTTTTTGGTATAATCTTGGTAAAAATAAATGTCGTTATTATACATGTAGTTTTGGATTGTTGCTTTTGTGTCACATGAGGAAGGGGTTTCAGTGAACTGTCTACTGTGATAACTTGCATTGTCCATTACAATTACGTTATCAGGAGGAATGTTTGGAACTAGTTTGTTTTTAAATCAACTTTCAAATAAATCAGCGGTGGTGTCTTCATGGTAATCCAGTGAAGAATTTTTAATATTTTTCGCAGACAGAGAAAGTCCATTTGGAATCCAACCATCTTTAGAGCCAGCATGCAAAATAGTTATTCTTTTACCTCTTTTTGATGGCGCGTTTGTTTTACACTTATTAGTTGAGCCAACCCAACCTTTTTCTAAGGATCATAAGTGTCGAACCAGGTTTCATTCAAGTAAATAATTGGCTTTTGTTGTTCTCTGTAGATTCTAATTTTTTCTAGATATTCCAGTCGCCATTTTCGAATTCTAAAAGATTACATTAAAACTTGTCTTTTGGCAATTTTTTTAAATCTAAAACCCATGTGTTGAATACACTTCCATAAGGTAATTCTGCCACATTTAACACCGGTTTCATCTTTTTCAAGCCTCCTAATTAAGATATCTAATGTAGGGTAGTGTGTTCCTCCTATAACTGGTAAATTTTACGCCGTATTATATCTTGATCACTTTCACACTCGAGAAAATGTCAGCATCGCTTCTTTTTTTCCTCGCTGAAATGGGATTATTCACAATTTTCCATACAGTTGATGTTGGAAGTTTCGTCAATGTGGCCGTTTCTTTTAAAGATGCTTGTTTGCTGGCACCACGTTCAATGAGAGTCAAGTAAACATTGTTTATAACTTCCTTAGTCTCAATAGAATAGTGTTTTCTACATTTGGGCGGGAGCATCTCCTGAGATACACTAGACTCGCACGTATTTGGCATAATTCGCACACGATTCAACACACGCTGTATTACACACGAAATAAGAATGATTACTAATAAACTTAAACTAAGTAGTATACCAAACCAAAGAATATTAAACACAGATAGGTATAAAATTATTTTCTATTACGGGCCACAATTTTACCTGAATTTAAATTCCGAAACTTTAGGTAATACTCTTGTGGCAATGTATGTTAATGACCACCCTTTTATAATCCCGTTCAAAAGCAATTCTTCACTTTCTTATGTCTATGAACAGACCATATCTGGAAATTATTGCTATAGCCAGGAATGCACCTGCATTTCGGTTTTATTACCTTAAATTTAAATTTGTGGTATTTTTTTAATATTACCAACCTATTCTCTGTATTTAGCACAAGGAACGTCATGCATAAAAAGTTTGGTTAGTTTGAAGTAGGAAAAAATAATTAACATTAAACCAACCAAAACTTTGGTCCTGTTCCACGACCCCAACAATATTTTTTGGATCGAATTTGGATAAAAATGACCATGGTGAGCAAATACTAATGGATTTCTCAAAGAAACTAATAAATAACTCAAAACAATATTTATTTACTTTGCATTTGTTGCATCAAAGATACGATTTAGGAAATCATTTCCGAACTTTTATGTGTAAATGTGTATATCATTTGTATTTGATACTGTGTCTTTTTTATATACAAACTGGATCTGGATGCAAATATGCATTCTATTTATTTTACAATAGTTTTGCGAGTCCATTTTGTGTTAGATAAGGAATCTGTATTATTTTGTAAATTTATATATTATGTTTCAAAATTTGTTTTATTTAAGGTCCCGAATTTTCTTCTGTGAATTTTTGTTGGTAATCGTAAAACAAACCAATAAAATATATCCTACATCTATGGTCCGTGGAACGAATGTAGACTAGGGTCTAGTTAAGAAGAAGGTTATGTCAGTATAAGAGACGCGTGGTTACTTTGTACTTTTGGATTCATGTTTTTTCATGTTGCGTTTTGTAGTGTCAATATATTGTTGAGTTTCGGACTTGTTTGAATATCCCGAATTGACCATTTCCCACAACAATTTTTAACTAAGTTTAAAAGAACGCAAAATGATTTCGGGAAAAATTCTTACGAAATTTGCCTCAAGAGCGCGTAGATTTTGACGAAACTATTTGCTAGTGTTATTCCAAAAATCTTATATTTTAAGCGAATAATACAATATCCTAACCTTAAACCAATTTTTAACGATCTTGAGCCAAAGTAACTAAGAGGTTATGATAAAAGTGAAGGCTTTGCTTTAAATTCAGGCACGCTGAAAAAATACGGTTGTTTAGGCCATTTTTTTTTGTATTGGATCAAAACCTTCATGCCATTCGCCCATTTCAAATGCATAGCGACCTTAACAAATCTTTTCATATCAAGAAGAAAACCGCTAACTGGATGAAAACTGTCCCACTTGTTGCCGCGACAACGGGCCATTCGAGATGAGAAAAAAAACGCGCGAGAAAACGGCACAAGTCGTTAGAAGAACAACGTTAGCGAACCTCGGTTTCCTTCCGCGTTTAAAACAACGAGCGAACGTCGCGGACAAAGTAGGCTGTACGGGCGACAAGTGCGCGTCGCGTCACTTCGAATTCGACCGTGTTAAAAGCGCGGCCGACCGCGATGCTGAATTCGAATCTCCCGCGTTTTCGAACGTTTCATCTACTATGACGTTGCCGCGTTTGTTGTTCTGCGCGGTTTTGTTGGTTTTTTCGGCTCTGTTTTGCGCGTTCTACGGCGCGTCGAACGTCGCGACGCCGCCGCCCCCGGTTTTCAATCGCCGCGGTTTAAAAAAATTGATCGCGTTTTCGTTGCGGAAGCAGATCGAGGGGGACGGCCCGGAATACGCTTGCGAACGGAGGCGGGCGGCGGCGGCGGCGGAGATTTTAGCCGCGAGGGCGGCGGGCCACTGGACGCGGGTGGAAAACACGGAAGCGTACGTGCGGACCGTCGGTTTGGACGAGAGGCTGCGGCCCTACCGGTACCTGCGATTCGTGGGGGCGGTTAAAGGTAATATTACGGAGGAGAAAGTAAACATATTCGAAACCGTCTTTAATATTCAAGCTATCGAAAAAATAAAAATTTAGTAGCTAGTTTAAAATAATAATAAATAATAAAATATTATTATTATAATAAGGGACCTTTCAACATCACTTATTCTAGACTATAAAATTACTTGCACAATATTGGAATGATGTTACTTCAAACACTATTTCAAACTACTTTTGACATGCAGGTATGATAAAATCGGAAGGTAAGTTTGATTCAGACAACGACTTACCTCTGGTGCAGTGGTTCGAAAAGTACAAAAATAATGAAGACGATGACTGGGAGGTTCCCATAAGTAATTGGTTGCGCAATAGCGGCCAAGATGTAACCAACATTGAAATGTATCTTCCTGAGCTGGATAGCTTCCCAACTGTTGATGATAATTTAATAACAACGGCGTTATTAACGGATAATGATATTATTACTGAAGATATACAGCAAAATGATCGTCAAAGCTCTGGTAACGAAAGCGACGATAATGTTCAACAAGACGAATTACCAAGTTATTCTGAAGCGCTCTGTGCCGTTAAAATGTTACAAACTTTTTACAATCTACCGATAATTTATAATTTGCATTGTCTATCACTGACGCTATTAGGAGGAATGTTTGGAACTAGTTCGTTTTTAAACCAACTTTCAAATAAATCAGCGGCGGTGTCTTCATGGTAATCCAGAGAAGAATCTTTAATATTTTTCGCAGACAGAGAAAGTCCATTTGGAATCCAACCATCTTTAGAGCCAGCATGCAAAATAGTTATTCTTTTACGTCTTTTTGATGGCACGTTTGTTTTACACTTATCAGTTGAGTCAACTCAACCCTTTTCCGGGGTACCATAAGTGTCGAACCAGGTTTCTTATATATATATATATAAACAGACCATACCTACATATTTTTTTTATAGCGTACTTCCGCTTATAGAGAACTCATTTTCTGGTCCCTATTTGTTACTTAAGTATACTTATTATACGAATACGAAATACGTAAACTTAAATAAATAAAATAAATTTAAATAAGAATTGTTTATTATTTATCTTGTTAGGATGTCATGTTATTTCATTAAAAGTGTAAAAGTAAAAAGAGTAGTCTTCTAATGTTTTGTTTCTGAGGGCCACTAGTTGATTTTAAGAGGAATCAGTTGCGTACCATCAATGTCTGCCAAAATAGACAGGTGAAATCCCGTACGCCCGCCACTGGTGTATCAATTAAATAGAGAAATTAGATTTCTTTAGAAATGATTGGAGATTGTCAGTGCATTTAAAAAAAAAAGTGATACACTAAATAATGCCTCTTGATACATAAGTTCATATCTGCCAAATTTCATTAAAATATCTAAAGTAGTTTTACAGATATTAAAAAAAATATTTTCATTATTTTTGGAAAATTTATCCTGTATCTCAAATGTTTAGGACATTCATATGAAGTTTCCCTTATAAAATGGTCCCAAAAACCGCCCCCTTAATTATTTACATTCAATTAGAAAACACCCTGTATATTTGGAAAGTCCTTAACGGATTCAATTCAAACACGTAAAATTTTACTATAAAAAACTAGCTACTCCATTGGATTTTATTTAAAAAAAACTCTATAGACCAATTTTTATTTTTTTGATAGTTTAAACATTAAATTATGTTGGGGTCTCTTTCGTTTAACAAAAAAGCAGTAACCGTTAAGCTTCTATTTTACTCATAATCGCAATGACAACGAATTTCCTAGAAATTATGGTCCCGGATCTCACACGTTTCCCATAGTTTTCCTATACTTCCGACGGTTTCTGAGAAAAATAAAATTTTTTGAACAGTAAAAACGTTTGGTCTGAATAACGAAAACAAAACTAACCAAACTAACAAAATAGCGAGTTGCACTTAAGAAGTGTTTGTTTCGGATAATTTTTGACGGGTCCAGGTATAATAAACATATGAGCTGGCGTAACGTCGCAAATTCGCGAGAGATGATCCCAACGGGTCGTAAATAAATTTATTATCGCCGGTTTTACTGTCGATAATAAATAATGCGAAGGAAACGACGACCATTATTTTGGAGCTATAAAACGGCCGCACACTGCCGTAGCAGTAGGCCGTGGCACACGCGAGCTTGGGCGGCCGCGGTTGCGATCGGAAGTTAAGTAGGCGTGTGTTTATTTGCGCTTAGGCTCTGCGAATGAAGCCATCTACTGTCAAATTTACTACGGTCGCGGGTCGTTCCGCACCGTTAAGGCAACGATTACGCCCGTATGGTACGGCGAATGGGACGCAAGCCATAACGACACCTCGTACTACAATCCCACGTTAATCTCGTGTAGGTAAGGAATAAAATTTACCGCTCGTTTTTGCGTCGTAGGTTGGCGACCAGGCATTATTCGGACCGAAAAAAGGCGAGAGGCTACTTGCAGGAATATTTTGACGTATGAAGTTTTTTAAGTTACAAAGAGTGCTAAAGAGTGTTACTTTAACATAATTACTTGTTTACGGGGTTTACACTTTCAGATAATTTGCGCAAACTAATCTGTACAAATCAGTTTGTGCAATAAAGTGACGTAATATACACATATTGGAAGTTTGCGCAGTTAAAAATTTGGCTTGAGCAAAATTTGAATTGTCTAGATGTTTTAACTGTGGTTGGCGCATGTTCGTAGGCGGCCGATTCAGGCTTAAAAATGGGTATTTACGAAAGTATTGTTTTGTTTTGATATTTTTTTATATTTTGGTAAAAATGGCAAAACAAGGACCGGCACAATTTCTGCGAGAGTTTATTGAGTTATATCAATCCAAGAACAGCATATTTGTCATTTTCTACTATAATTATAAAAATTAATTTTCACTACACAAATATTTATTTAAAGGTTAGGACATAAAGCCATAGGAACTAAAATAAAAAAAAATAATTAATTATTATCAAAAAATCATATTTTTTATGCTTCCAATACTTTACGAGCTGTCCCAAAAATATGCTTTTCTTGTCACTTACAGACTTTTTAATCATTTTTTTAGTTTACTTTTTTTTTGAAATATTTTCTTGTGAGCTTGAGCTTGACCCTGCAGCGACAGCATCAGGTTTATGAACTTTAGTAACATAATGTTTTTTTTGCCCACATTGAAAATCTGGATCAAATGAATCTTGTCGAATAACATTCCTATTTAACGGAGGTAACCCTCCTCTTTAGTAAACCCACTTATGAATATTCGGGCCTGTTTCTGTCCGTATCTCCTCTAACATCTTGGAAAACAAATTCAAGGGTGTGAGGTGGAAGCTTAAGTAATATGAAGTATTTATAACATCTGCTCCAAGATGACTCGCGTCCCCGTATGGGCCTATACTATGTGGCAGCATAGGTAGTATTAGGAAACTCTGCGCCAGATGGAGCCGTCCACTCTTCCCAAACATGAAGATATGAGCGACTTAGTTGTTTCACCACTTGCGCTGCAGCTTAATACAATTTTTGTCGGACAACGGGGAACAAATGGGTCCATTTTTTTTGTAGCATATTCTGCACTCTGGTGTTTTAATAGACAGATTATGCCTACGCTTAATTAAAAAACTAGCCTTTCCCTGGCTTGCTGCGTGCGGAGACCATTTGATAGTTTTTCTTCTTCATGTAGGTCTTCCATAGCTAGACATTTTTTATTCTCTTCAGTTTTTAAGATGATCGTGAAGGGTAGCTATTGGAATGTCGTAACACTTTGTTATCCCGGTATAAAATCATTTTGAACTGACTTTATTGACGACAATGCAATTTTAAGACTGCGATATATCCTTTGCTCCTATTTTGCGAATGTAATTCCTCACCGTTGGGGTATTGAAAAAAAGTGGACACATTTTTATTAGCACTAGCCTCGAATCCAAAAATTGCAGGGGCAAGAACGTAATAATAAAAAATATATATACTAAAAATGAATATTTTCAAAAATATGTTCATACGTAAAAATATCCCTGCGCAGCGTCTCTCCCATCAAATATAAACTCGTGGGGTGCGTTCAGATCCCTATGGAAATTTTACACATCCTACGAAATAGGTAGTTAACAATTGTCCCGTATGTGCATTTGAGCAGTTGTTCTCTAACCTAATGTCTTTTTTCATTTGCACCCACTCTCACAATTGTTACGGGTGAATCTGGAAATCTAGTTTATAATGAGAATACCATCTCACAGTGAGGTCGAGAAAATATTCTAAAGCTAATTCACTTAGTTGTTGAACAATGCAACAATAAATATTTGAAGGCATAATATACGAAAGTATATGTCAGACAGACAGAAATATCGCAGGAAAACGAATTGCGTTTGACTTTTTTGAGGAGTTGGGTAAAATATTTGGAAAATGTTCATCCAGTGGCAATAACTGGTTGCAGTGGACTGAAAAGTACCAGAACATAAAAACAAAAAAGACAAAAACAATTCCTCCTCTTGCTTTTAAAACAATTAAAAGATCTTTGAGATCTAATTAAAAGAGGCGAATGGTAAATGTACTTAATAAATATGTAACATTCTTAATGGCAAAGGACAAGGCTAGTGAAAAATAGTTTTTATTTTGACAAAATATTTTTGCCAATGTATTGAGGAATCATTTTTGTTGTTTTTCAGTTGACTTTTTTAGCTGTTTCCCCAAAATATTTGTGGCTTTGGTTTTGTCATTCATCATTCCTTATTTTAATGCTTCATATTTTGTAGTTTAAGTCTAACTTGAATTACTTGGTCATATTTTGTAGAATGCATAAGTATTTTCAGTTTTACCTATCTAACACAAGGCAGTTATTGTTATTGTTTAAATTGAAATCAGGAAAAATATTGTTTAGCCCTTTTTGTTTGGACCCTTAAGACTTGCATATTTCCCTACGCTATCGTAGAAAGTCAGGTATCCATAATACCTATAACGTCTATGAAACTCTAGCTTCTTCATGATCAATTTTATTTAAAAATATATTATATCGAACTTTTTTTTGTTTACTTGTTACTTCTGAATTATCTAGAAGCACTATATACATCCACATTGTCTGAAGTCCAATCAGTGTCCAATAGCCATTTATTATACCCAAAATTTATCACTGGTGCATACATTACCAAATTGTTTGTTAAACCATTATAGAAAACTAGCAAATAGACTTCAAAAGATCAGATAGATTAGGTCTTGTTCGGACTCGACCACGTTCCGAAACAGACAATTGTCGTCTTTGAACGCACCCTCGTATTGTTGGTTGCCCACCTCGCAATGCTTAAATGCAGTACGTCATCGGACCCTTATCTTCAGGTTGCCGATATCGACTTCGACGCCGACGTCGGTTTCCTTATCAACGTCGCCCTGTGACGAAGCTACCAGCCGTCTCGAAATACCAGTGGCGTCTCGGCGGGCGGTTGATTTTACGGTATGCGTGAAGCCTTTAAATTTCGACCAGGACGTATCGGACAGGCTCGTCAGGTGGATCGAAATCTGCCGAATATTCGGCGCCCAGAGGTTCCACATCTACGTCGGAAACGTTACCGACGAAACCAGAGCCACTTTGAAATGGTAACCGTTAGAAAACCACGTGTTTATATTTGACGTGAAAACCCATGAGTAAATTTTGACAACGTTGCACGATTTCAAATAATTCTTATAGATCATCATCATTTCAAGGCGAATTTGATTAAACTTTTCCTCGTACTTCAGCTACCAAAACTGTCCTACATCTAAAAATCCTTTCATTTTATGAAAAAGTAGACACGGATCATGAACGGTGGCTTTATTAATAAGTGTAACCGTGAAAAATGAGACTGTACTGTAACTGGGTGGTCGTTCGACTTATTTTGTGCATGATCTGAAATGTAGTTGTTTTGTGGGCCCTTTTTTATTTAAAAAAAAAAGAAAAGCGCACCTCAAGCGCCACATATGCATAATTCCACTGTAAATTTCACTTTCCGAATTCACGCAAGCGCAGATACGAAGACAAATAAAAAAACGAAGTTAAAACCCATATAAGTCAAGCTTGGTCCACGACTAACATTACGTGTGGCAAATTTGAGGTTAGAAAGGAAAAAGGCTGTCAAACGAAACAATGTCAAGAATTAAGCTTCCATCCTTTGACATTTATTTCGTAAAAACTTGGCAATTTTTAAAAGAGTGAAAATTTTACTGTGTTATTTCGTAAAATTCGAGCAGCTTTTTCTCGTAATTATTACTCAATCAATGATGAAGCCCATTTTCAATTAGGCGATTATGTAAATGAACAAAATTGTCAAATATGGGCCTCGTATTTGAAGTGTGCGGAAAGGTAAATTTTGTAACAGAGACATTAAGTATAGTTCGATTTTTTGAAAAAGCAAAATATTTGAAAGCGATATTGACGATCTAGTGCTGCTGCTGGCGGCCTAAATCCTTTTTCAATTCCTAATGTGTGGAACATACTAGCTCTGTGAATCTTTGAAAAACCCTACAATATTTCTAAAATTTTAAGGTTTGAGCACTTTCCATTTTTAAAAAATAAACGAATTGATTTAAAAAAATCCAACTTGCGGTCAAATAACTATTATATTGCGTCAAAGGTGTGACGTCTATTTGTACGTTATACTATTATTCTTAAAAATATTATTGAATTCATATTGACACCCCATAGTTACCTTTTCAGCAGATACTCAAAAAGGGACAATCTAATTTACCAAAGAATTACTGCCCAATATCTATAGTTCCCCTATTGGGAATTTTTTTTAGGTCATTAATAAAAATTCCTAGCGGGAGGACATGTCACCAACATCATGACAGAAAAATGTTAACTACTTGTATATATTTTTGTTTGACTTAATCTGGGATATTTTTTATGTAATTCTTTCTAATATGTAATAGTCTCGTTTTTTTTACTGTTGTGTATGTCACTCTTATATAAATAAAGGATCTATGTATCTACATTCTACCACTTTTGTAAAAATGGGTTTAAATGTATTTTGTATTGAACTGAGGTGGCTTTTACTTGATGAAAATCCATTTATCAAAATAAATAAGAACTAAAAGTTCAGATTTTCACGAAATTATATATTACGACATGACAATTGTTTCGACAACACCGTGTCTTTATCTTTGCTTTCTTTGTTGGAATGGACAGACAATTGAATTCATTTTTAAATTACATTAATTCATTACATAATCGTAAAAAATACACTATCGAGATTGAACAGCTCTATTAATTTTTTAGACTTAACTATTACAAAAGCGCAAAACAAATTAGATTTTTCTATATATCATAAACGTTCACACACGGCCACAGTCATACATAACAGCTCAAATCACGCTTATACACATAAAATGGCTGCATTTAACTCTTTTATACACAGACTTCTTAATACGCCACTCTCGATAGAAAATCACAACAAAGAACTTAATATCATTAAACAAATTGCACTGAACAACGGCTACAATCCGTCCATTATAGATAAAATTATAAATAAAAAACAAATACAGACAACAGTAAACTCTATTCATCCGAAACCTAATACAGAACACGAAAAATTTAAAACAATTACATACATATGAGAACCTAGTGAAAAAGTTTCAAAACATTTGTCAAAATATGGTTTAAAAATAGCTTTCAGAACTAACAACACAATAGGAAAATATTAAAAAATAATAAAACGAAATATCCAAAAATCAGGTGTCTACAGGTTGAAGTGTGGATCTAAAATTTATATTGGACAGATAGATCCTTCAAGAAACGTATTAACGAACATAAAAGAGCGTTTAAAAACAATAGTTTAGATTCTTATTATGCTACACACTTAAACACAGAAAAACACATTTTTGACGACAATTTTGATATTTTACATACAGCCACAAAAAGTAGAAAATTAAATTCATTGGAAGCCATGGAGATTAACAAAATGAGACATTCAAATGTATTGCTTAACGATTTAAATACCTCTCCTTTATTGAACTTAAATTCTCACAACATTAATTAAGGTTTTATGGTCATTTTTCGGTATATATAGTAGCAGGTAGTTTGTAAATATTACATTTGATAAAGACACGGTGTTGTCGAAACAATTGTCATGTCATAATATATAATTTCGTGAAAATTTGAACTTTTAGTTCTTATTTATTTTGTATTTTGTATGTTTAATTTTAACTTAATATTGTTTTAGTTGTAACAGAATACATAAATTTTTCACATTACCCAAAAATTATTAGTTAAAATCGGCGAAATCTTAAACATTATTTAGAAATTTGAATCCAGCGAAATGTTCTTGAAATCATATGAATGTGTGAATTCTCGTGTACCAATTTTGAATGATGATTTGCCCCTCGGTCCTAACATTATTTTTAAATTAAAAAATCTGTCCGGAACCTCGTAGCGCAAAGTTTCATTTCTTATAAGGTTGTGATTGTAATTCATTCATGAATCTTAAAACGTCATCAAACACGCACAAAAAATCTAGACTGAATCTAACCTTTTAACGTAATGTCAATAAAAACGAATGTGCAAAACTTAAAATTACAAAAAATTACAGGTACAAGGCTTCGTACCCCGGCCTGCTACGTCTCGAAAATTTCCGACCGATTTCGGAAACCGGACGCTCGGTTTGGCAACGCCGCCGCTACGAAGTCGTCGCATACAACGGATGTTTCTACAAGAACCTCGATTCGAAGTTCGTAGTGCCCCTCGATGTCAACGAGGTTATAGTACCGAAACTAGACACCACTTGGTCGCAGCTAGTGCAGAGTTTACCCCGATGGTCCGAATACGCTTCCCTGGTGATACGAAACGTGTATTTCTTCGGCGGATTCGGCGACGCGTTCATCTTCGGTCGAAACATGAAGAGTCGAGTCAGGACGAAAGCCGGCGACCACGTTAAGAGTTTTATCAGTACCGAGAACGCGTTGACCGTTTTTAATCACTATGCATTGAGTGTGCTCGTGCCTAGTGCGAGGAGTCGCTATCTGGTGCCGATAGCACGTGCGCAGCTGAACCACTATAAAGACGACTGCGACGCGACCATTCTTCCAGAGTGTTCGGTGTACTTGGCGAGTCCGAGAGTGCCCGATACGAGCATATTCCGCTTTAAGAAAGTGTTCGACGTGAAGTATCGCGAGAGGTCAGAAGCGCTCCGTGGTTACCTCGAAGGACGAGTTTGATGGAACCAGGACTGTCCAAAATTGGTTTGTCCGGCAACACCGCTGTACGCATGACAACATCGACAAAAATAACCACAGGTGTAATGGGCGAGTGTCCTTGGCACTTTCCGTTGCAAAAAGCAAGGAAGATGTTTACTATTATGAGGGAAACAGTTTTCTGTGAAACGCATCATTGAATTGAATTGAATGAGGGAAACGTCACGGAGGGTTAAAAGAAGTGCGTGAACGTAGTTTTTTTGTTTTGCATTTTTTATTATCAGAAGCTACCATCCAATACGTGGACAGAAGTTTATGGCCAGTCGAAGAAAGCTTTTAGTGTGCAAGTGTACATTTTTTGTCTAAAATATTAGATTAGAATATCTGGATTATCAAAGAACACAACAAAGTCGTTACGGAGTCCTTCAAGTAAGCCAGTTCCGGCAAAATAAAAATAAAATCCCTTCTGGCTTTCCATAACCAGATATTAAATAAATTTTTCAATCAAGTAAAGATGGATCATGTTTTAACCAAACGCCTTGATCTTGCAACTGATAAAAACTACTAAATAAAGATATGATTACACATACTGGCCGAATATCAAAGTGAATCGGTGACATAATTAAAAACAAAACGGATAGGTAGGGTCAATCGAAAAGCGCTACGACTTTTTAAAATGAAACTCCCGCGTGCTGCCTTTTCTAAACAAACTTTTATTGGCGGAACAAAACAATGCACTTAATACCTACTTAGTTTGCTTTAAACATAAATATAAATACATTTAATAGCAGTGTATATACAGGGGCAAAAGGTCACATGTCAACCCGAAACGAACTCCTTGCTATATTCACAAAGACCGCGCCGATCGAACAAACCGACCGGTAACTGGGGCCCCGCTCCCGTAAGGTCGCGTTTATACTACTGGGCGGCGGCACCTCTCCTATGTTTTGCTTTAAAATTTCCCCAACAAACAAAAACCCGGAAAAAAAGTCTCGGAAACGCTAATTCGCACTTAACTCTTCCGTTATACTAATGTGACTCAGGACGGCCATTTTTTCCTACATCTGTCAAAGTTTGTGTGATATTTAATCATTGCAAATGTTAGAATTTAAAATGGAACCACTGGTTAACAAAAATTTAATGAAAACCAAAATAAAACCTACAAATAAAAATTGCAGCAATGAGTTTCCATCAAATTTATTATTTGAGGAGTGTAACATTTAAAATGTGTGTGTATTTAAAAAAAATATCGATTACATTATTATTTTCACTGAAATATCACAACTGGTCGTTTCAATTCCAGTTCTAATACCTGCAAAGTAGTAATCGCGTAGTTGACAAATACACACACAGAATAAATAGACAAACAGAAGACTTTGGCTTCCTGGAAAATCGCCATTTAATACAAATATAACGCCGAGCCGTATTAAAATTTTTGTAAATTATGGCAGACTCAACATTTTGACGTTAGTGTAATGCGCAAACTGAGAGTTATCCTTGGGGTTGTTTGTCTATTCCGTGCCCAAACGTCGGAAACATTTCGCGCTCTAAACAGTACCAGACATAGACAGAGCGGTCTGATCTAAAGAGAGGCAACAGAGGCAACGTATTTTTCCATGCGCACGGTCGGATGTCCTTGGTATAAATGTCAAAAAGCTCGTACCCGTTCGATTGTTTATCTTCTGGATTCGTTCTACGTCGATTGTTTATTAACCAAACTTGCTGACGCTTCGTCAATTATCTGACTGACTAAAAGGCAGAAAATATAATTTATTAACAAGCGACGTGGGATGAATCCGAAAGATTTGTAAACAGTAGCTCATATTTATAGTGTGCTGATTTTTTGTTTTTTTATTGTGATCTTTTATGTTATTTTCAAGTAAACCGAAAACATAGGGTGCTTATCGCAGGTGTTATTTTCAGACTGGCATTGATATCGAAAAGTACATCCTGTTTTTAGTATGTTTTTCGTTAAATTTGATTTATAGTAATATTGTTTATTTATAATATCTTAATATAGTAAAATATCCAAAAATGTTGATGGCTTAACAATATAAGACAAGTAGAGAGTTTGTTGCCATTGTCGCCAACGTTCAGTAACGAAGTTACCTAAAGAAAGAAATATTCTCATAAAAATCGATGCAAGCGGGGAATAACGTTTAAAAAATGCTTGGGTGTTATCCTCTAGAACGTGACACAAACTGTCAAGTATTATTTTTCAGTATAATAATGCGTATCTATTGCACGAAGCATAAAAATGATGACACTTATAAAGCACTAAAAAAAATTGCAACCCTTTGCGTTCTGTGATTTTTTATCTTCAAATCGGTTTAATAAAAACAAAATAATGAGTTTTTCTCTTTGAGCATTTTCATTTAAAACTTTCGAATAATGGATAATTTTCATTAAAATTCATTTTCGCTATATTAAAATAATCAAATAAAATATTGCGGTGTTGTGGAATTAATTCGCGGGGTTTTGGTAATAGATGGCGCTAGTGGTATAGTACGGCTGTTATTTGACGTCATTTTCTTTACCACATATCATTTGTTATATCAAAACAAAACCAACAACAATTTGTGATGTTTTTAATATGTCGCAGTTTCTGCCAAATAAAGTGTCATAATAAAGTCATCGTAATTTGGTAGATGTTTATGAAGAACATGCACTAGCGGAGCAAACGTGTAGAAAATGGTTTCCACGTTTTATAAGAGCGACATAGCCCAAAAAATTCGAAAATGAAGAATAAGAAAAATTGTTTAATGAAGAATTCACGTCAGACTCTTTTCAAGAATTGTCAACTTCACTAGAAATTGGTAAGGAGGGTCCAAAATGAATTAAAGCCGAGAGATATCGAAAGGCGATTTTTGATTTATGATTTACTGCTTCCAGTGGAAAAAAGAAAAGGATTTTTGCATCGGATCGTCACGAGAGAGGAAAGCTGGATTTATTACGACAATCCTAAGCAAAGAAAGTCCTGGGTAAAGCCTGGTGGACACCAGTGGCGACGAAAATCCACGAATCTAAGCTCCTGCTATGCATTTGGTGGGATCAACTGGGTGTGATTGATTACGAGCTTTAAAACCAAATAAAACGATTACAGGAGCACGACTCCAATTCATGCGCCCGAGCTAAAAAAAAAACGTCCAGAATATGACAAGGTCATTTTATTACAAGACAATGCTCGTCCGCACGTCACGAAACGAGTCAACACATACCTTGAAACGCTTCAATGAGACGCCCTACCTCACCCGCCGTACTTTCCAGATGCTGCACCATTTGTTCAGATCTATGGCTCATACGGCTCACTGGTTATGAAGATTCGTGGATCGCACCTAAAGACCAGCAGCGGGAAAAGTGACAATATTTCAATATTCATTTTTAATAAATATTGTTTTAAATTGAAAAAAAACCGCGACGAATTAATTCCAATTCCTAATAATAAAAAAAGCGTCACTTTCTTTAAAAGAAATTGATCCTAGTCTATGAACCTGTTCATCAGTTGGCGAACAAATTTCTCTCGGCGTATAACGACGCGATCGTGACTAACGCAAGGTCACCAAAAATGGACCCCCTACTTTCTTACGCTTACTGTTGCCTCTCGATCGATCAATCGCCTACGGCCCGTCGTCCTGAAGTATAAACGCCACGTAAAGTATTATTGCACTCGCCTGCCAGGCGTTTTCGGGCTCGGCCATGTGACACCCCCGCCAACAGGCGCCTCGATGGGCGGGCCTGTGATCGAGACCGACCCACTCGAGCCGATCGCAATCGCCTGCGTCTCGTCAAGCAACAGCAGGGGACTGAGGACCCAACAGCAACGCTGCGACCGCAAAATCACCTGTGCGCTACGCGCGGCGACACCGGACGATGGGAGGGCGGGAGAAGCGCCGTCGGTATCGCCGCGTTTAACGTACAGGGGGTTGCCCCAATCCAACAGCCGTGTGCAGGCTGTGACGGGTATCGCCTGCTACGGAGGTTACGTGTCTACCAGTCCCTGAACGGCAGGACGAGCGTCCGGCGGACATCCCGACGAGGCGGCAGCGGATCGCGCCGCCCTAGGGGCGGGTCCGGACACCCGTCCGCGAAAAAAAAATAAAACCATACACCGTTTCTATCGCAGAAAAAGTAAAATAAAAAAAGGGATTACCTTCGGTCGCGACGGCGTGTCTAAACATTGTTTTCGTTTTTTAATTTTTATCACTACTAGGACTAATCTCGATTACAGGTTAGATACAAGTCAGTTCGGCTTAGGACCTACCTGAAGACTTTATCGAAATGTACAATTTCGGACGGGCGTTCCGCCATTGTTTTTGTCGCATTCAGCTAGTTAGATACCTACAGTTTATTATATATCCTTTTTTTTTGTTACGCGGCGGCGGTCAAAATTTACGTGCGCTTTTATTTTATTGTCGGCATATCGAATATTTATTTAGTAGTGAATCTTTAAAAAAAAAGATCTTTAAAAATTAAAACTAACACGTTTTGGTTTTGGATTTTCGCGTGTCTTATAATAGAAATAACTTTTTTCTTTTATATATTTTCCACACTTCTAAATATCCCGAATCTCCATATAGCGGACACTGCATGAATGCCTGTTTGTCCATTATTGGGAGATTGTACAGCAATAATTGGTATTCAGAGCGTTGATGGGCACAAAACAAAAAAAAACCAACATGTTTGAATCAATTTATCAATAACATATCTATCAAATACTCTAAAAATGAAAAATTATACGTGTTTTAAGAAAATTATTTCTCATATTTTACATTTTAAATAAAACATATTTTACAGAATTCACTATGGTTCATGGACAAAAAACAAAAAATAAATCCATATGTGTTGGATCAATTTATCATAACATATCAATCAAATATTCTAAAAATGAAAAATTATACGTTATTTAATAAAATTATCATATTTACATAGTTCACTATTCGGAGCGTTGATGGACACAAAACAAAAAATAAATCAATATGTATTGAATCAATTTATCATAACATATCAAATATTCTAAAAATTAAAATGAAAAATTTTACGTTTTTTACTAAAATTAATTATTAAATTTTAAATGAAATATATTTTACAGAATTCACCATGGTTGTCCACTATTGAGAGGTTGTACTGAATAATTAATTGGTATTCAGAGTGGTGATAAATACAAAACAAAATATTCTTCTAAAATATTGTAAAATTAAAAAATATATTTCGAAATCAAACTAAGAACGCAATAAGTAATTATCATATTTTAAGTTTTCAAACCATTGATGAACGCAAAATAAAAATTAAATCACTATGTTGACAATATATTTTAATAAAAAAAAATATTCGGAAAATAAAAAAAAATGACTGTAATTAAAACTTCTTATGCAAAATCAAATTTAGAACGTTATAAGTGATTGATTTTGGATCTTCTTCTGCATGTCAATAAAAAATATCATTTTTACTTCAATCTTAATGTAAATTAGGGGACGCTACCGGATTCACTGTGGTTGTTCACTATTGAGAGGTTACACTGTGGTAATAATTTGATTCCTAGCCCTTGCTTCACACCAAATGATAGTGATAGTAGTAATGAAGATTTAAATTAATTGGAATTGATATTACCTTTAACAGGCTCAACTGATATCGCTCGTAAGTTTTTGAAACACATTCAAGATTTTAATGCCCACAATTTTTCCCAAACATTCATAATTTTTTTAGAAATCTTCTTCTTCCTCTAATTTTAAAAATCAAACTAGCTTTGAACGTTTTCCAAAAACACCATACGTTCCAGGTATAAACATCATTTTTTATTTAAACTTTCTAAATATAATAATAAGAAATACATTTCTGCAGAGACCCTCATTTTGCCACTCTTTAAAAAGGAGAAAACGTCCTCTAAAAAAATAGCAAAAAATATTTTTTTTCTCCTAAACTTATTTTTCTATTTTTTGTGTTTTTTAATCCTACAAAAAAACATTTTCAGCAGTTTCTTTCTTCTCAAGACGACTGGGCCATTGTTGCCTTTATCGATATGCCGACAACAAAAAAAAAATGAACCGACGCTTCGCTTGCTTACCTTGCTTTAAATCTAAAAAAAAATGCAACAGCGGCGGGGGGAAAAGGGCGGCCAAACTCAGCCCCGATTACTGAAACCCGCGCCCGCCCCACCCCCCTCGATTTTCGCACGCGCTGCGGGGGATGGGCAAAAATGAAAAAAATAAAATAAAATAAAATAAAGGAAATAAAAATCGACCAACCTTCCACCAAATGGGTGTATATATCGCCCCGGCTGTGTCACGGAATACAAAAAAAAAATAGAATTACGTACCGAGCTGGGGAAGCTTTCGGTCTCGCGCGTGTTACAATCGTAAACCTGTCGAAAGAAAAAAAATAACGGGGGTGCTGTTGCGCACGGGCGGCGGTCTCGGGGACGCGGGGGCGGTCGACGTCGGCGGGCCAACCGCCCCCGCGCGGTGCCGAGACTAAAATAGGTACGTGTGTGTTTATGGGACTTAAATTAGACTTGCGGGTGGTACAGGATCATCAATGGAGATCATCTGAAACGGGGCTGCATGATCATCGGTCCGGCGGGGAAGACGTGGGCGCCGTACATCATTCCGGGTGGCATCCCGATCATACCTACCGACAAAAACAAAAGACGATTGCCGATATTAGCGGCGCGGCCTCCTCCGAAACGGACCACCCCGGGCAAATCTCTCAAGTAACACCCAAAAACATTCCAAATTCATGAAATTTGAATCGGCCTCTAATCATTGACAAGCTAAATGCACTTTTTTATATTTTTTTTCGTGAACTACTGTGTGTGTGAACTGTAAAACTTAGTGGTCGTAAAGAATAAATTCGCAAAATTATTCACTTTACTTCTTTTTTACGCTATGTCGCTATAATCTGTTTCATAATGCCAGACGGTAATAAATCATTATTGAACTGTAGAACCAAGTAGTTTAGTTGTTTTCCGTAGGCGTAGTATTGTACGTGGTGTATTCAAAAGGTAAGGGACTATTAAGTTCCATTAAAAAGTAATTCATTATTTATCAAAATTAATATTGTCCCTTTCAATAATGATAATGATAACACCCACTTGTGCCAACGTTTTTCCAATCTTCGAAGCACTTCTGGTACGCACTTTCTGGTATAGTCTCGAGTTCTTCTGATCTTTTCTTTATCTCCTCAATCGTTCCAAACCTTTTTCCTTTCATGGGCTTCTTGAGTTTTGAGAACAGGAAAAGGTCGCATGAGGCCATATATTAAGTAAGTAAACAAAACCTTGACATTTCATCCCACTTGACGTGCTTCTGGGGGCTTCCATTGGGCGACTGAGCTTTGGTTGCGACGTCATAACCATATAAAGTCTGTTCATAGATATAAGAAAGTGACTAACTGATAAAAATCGTTCTTTAGACAAAGCGGCTCGAAATATATCTCTCCCTGTGCTGTCTGTTGCAAACAAACCTCTACAGTCTTCATTATTGGATTTATAACCACCGCAAAGAATCATTATGCCAAGAAATGCTTTGAGTTTTATTTCATCGATATGCCCTACATAGGAAGCGGTAGGACCATATCTTACGCTAAGTTCTGGTATTTTCGTGTTAGTGTGTTCCAGGATCTCAGCTAAATATGTTCAGTAAAAAAAAGTGACTAAGAATGATATGGCGATTGAGGCGGTGTAGCAGCTGCTGGACCTTTGAGCCCTGGTAAATGTAATACTAAATTGTCCATTCTTGTCCTTGAATTAAGGAAAGACCCGGGCAAGCTGTAAGAATAAAATATGCACCGAACAGGTCCGTACTTAGAATTTAATTATTTGGGGTTTTGTTAGGAAAGATTGGAGTTAACACGGAAAAAACATTGTTACGACGAATGGCAGATTTCAGTTGGTGCCAAACATGTTCAATGGGATTAAATATACAGTGGTAAAGTGGAAGCCTTAAAACAGTATGCCCTAGATTTTTTGCATAATTATCACAGACGTATTCCTTTTGTAGGGTCAAGCTTTGTAGAACCTCAATTAATTGCTTTTTGGTATAACCTTCGTAAAAATAAATGTCGTTATTATACATGTAGTTTTGGATTGTTGCTTTTGTGTCACATGAGGAGGGTTATAGTCAACTGTCTACTGTGATAACTTACATTGAAGAATGTTTGGAACTAATTTGTTTTTAAACCAACTTTCAAATAAATCGGCGGTGGTGTCTTCATGGTAATCCAGAGAAGAATCCTTAATATTTTTCACAGACAGAGAAAGTCCATTTGGAATCCAACCATCTTTAGAGCCAGCATGCAAAATAGTTATTCTTTTACCTCTTTTCGATGGCGCGTTTGTTTTACACTTATCAATTGAGTCAACCCAACCCTTTTCCGGGGTATCATAAGTGCCGAACCATGTTTGATCCAAGTAAATAATTGGCCTTTGTTGTTCTCTGTAAATCCTAATTTTTTCTGGATATTCCCGTCGCCATTTCCGAATTCTAAAAGATTCCGTTAAAACTTGTCTTTTGTCAATTTTTTTAAATCTAAAACCTATATGTTGAATACACTTCCATAAGGTAGTTCTGCCACATTTAACACCTGTTTTATATTTTTCAAGCCTCCTAATTAAGATATCTAATGTAGGCACGCTTTGTTCCTCGTATAACTGGCAGATTTTAAGCCGTATTATATCTTGATCACTTTCATCTACACTCGAGAAAATGTCAGCATCGCTTCTTTTTTTCCTCGCTGAAATGGGATTATTTACAATTTCCAATACAGTTGATGTTGGAATTTTCGTCAATGTGGGCGATTCTTCTAAAGATGCTTGCTTGCTGGCACCACGTTCAATAAGAGTCAAATAAACATTGTTTATAACTTCATTAGTCTCAATAGAATAGTGTTTTCTACATTTGGGCGGGAGCATCTCCTGAGATACACTAGTCTCGCACATATTTTGCATAATTCGCACAGGATTCTACACACGCTGTATTACATACGAAATCAGAATGATTACTAATAAACTTAAACTAAGTAATATAACAAACCAAAGAATATTAAACATAGCTAGGTATAAAATTATGTTTTATTACGGACCATAATTTTACCTGAATTTAAATTCCGAAACTTTAGGTAATACTCTTGTTCTTATGTTGTTGTATGTTAATGACTACCCTTGGATAATCCCATTCAAAAGCAATTGGTCACTTTCTTATATCTATGAACAGACCACACCCATGATTCGTCACCCGTTATGACTTTTTTGATCAGGATCATCATTGACGTAGTTTAACGGCCCTTTTTTTCAAAATTGAGCAGTTTCAAAACAAATTTTGCTGCTACACGTTTCATGTCCTAAACTTCGAAAAAAATTGCATGGCACGAGCCAATAGAGATGCGGACGTCATTGTCATTCCATGATTTTTCAAAACCATTGGTTTCACCTCTTCAACGCTTTCATCAGTTATTGACGTGCTGGGACGTCCAGAGCGAGGTTCGTCATCGGGCATCTTCTCGGACATCTTGGAAGAGCTTGTACCACTTATAAACATTTTTTTGCTCATAGTGGATTCACCAAATGCCACCAAATCGCCGAGTACACATCTTCACAAAAAAAAGTAAACGTCCAAACTGGCTGAAATTTTGAGCATATCTGAAGGGCATGTGTACCAATATAATAAAAAAATATATCGAAGGTCGAATGTACGTAGCTCGCCCAATTACAAACGTCGCCTTACTTTTTGAACACGCCTCGTATCTACGTATGTCAAGAGCCGTCAGAGTGGCAGGTAGACAGCCAGGTAGTTGATCTACCCGTGTTTTAGAATTAAAATTACTTTTCGTTCTTGCAAGTTGCTAGTGTGCAAACGCGAAAAATCTTATTCTCAATGCATTCAAAGCTATACAAGTTTTAAAAAATATATACATTTCACTAACCTCCATAAGTAAACGGGAGACTAAAATTTGGACACAATTTTATTTCCACGCGAACCACTCACATGTTATTGACGATATTTTCGTACACTCATCATGATATAATAAATTGACTACTAATTAACATTAAAACTTTCAAATAAGCTGTCTTTAGTTATCAGAGAATATTAAATTGTTTTCAAAAATATATATTTTTTTAAATAAATATTTCTTCAAAGAAAACTCAACGAAATTTTGGGTGCTAGATTAAAAGATTTGCCCACAGTGCGGCGGCGCGTTGAACATAGACAAGACTAGGCGGAGGGCGGGGAGAGTCCGATGTTCGAAAAACTCGCGGGAACGTCATAAGGCATTAAACAACTATTATAAATCAGGGAGACTCCCGTTTCTTTACTAAACCTGTCGGCAATTGCGCTCTTAAACAAACCACCCTCACTCCAACAAATAAAAATCCAAATGTTCGGATAAAGCTTTTACATATTTCTTCTGCATTAAGTATATTCTTTGTTTAGTTTAAGATTTTAAGAACAAAATTTTATTTCGTTTGGGTATTTTTTTAAACACGGATTTATATTACTATCCTATTATAATTTTCATACTTTTTATGACAATTGCGTGATAATTAGGTTGTTTATTTTCCCAATTTTCGCGCTTTTCAAATTTCAAAATATTACTACCCTACTAGGATGATCGAAGAGTAGGAATGACGTCGAAATAAACTGTCAAAGAGAACACAGCATCGGCTCCTTGACAAACTAAACCGTTGTAGAAAGAAAAGCGATATACAATACCAAGCAAACGTCAATCAACGAGACTTCTGTCATATGACGTCATCCTAGCATTCGTTGCAGTCTAAAAGAATTAAAAAAACAACTAAAACCTGCATTGGATTAACAAAACAATATTTATGTAGAAATATTTTCCGAAAGGTGTGCGACGTTTGTGTACGACAATAAAAATGAAACACAGTATACTGGATGTCCGGAAAAATGTGAGAAGTCTCTAGGATCCTAGACAGAACACGAAAGAGGAGCATGGAGATCTAGAGAACGCAACCGGGGATAGATATGTTTAACATACATTAATTACAATTTATAAAAATAAAATAAAGCTTTTTTTTTCACACATGAAACATTCGTTTTTTTTTATTACATTTTTTCTCTTTATCTTTTGTTTTCAACTAAAGGTTGTAAACTATCTAAAATAATTTTTTAAGTTTTTATCGCGCAGCATGTTTTTTATTTACGGTCCAATGTTGCAAAGGACCATTACTCTAAAATTCTAAAAAAAAAATTATTTATCGAAATTAAATACGAGTATTTTTTATTATGCGTGTTAGTTGACGACTTAGTCCATCCCTGGTAACCTTAACAAGCAACATATGCTATTTTTACTAAATTAATTCAAGGTACTTTAAAAGATGTTCAAGTATTTCGAAAAAAAAAAAGTGACCTTGCTATGTTCTTTTTTCCTTGTTCTATTTACATACCAAGGAGTACCTATATTTTCTCGACTAATATGCTAATAAAAAAAAAGAATATATCGCACCCTCACAAGTCTTGTTTATGTTCAGCACCCGTGCGGCCTACAGGCCAACATTGCGACAAGAACTATGTTTTTATATATATATGTATGCTCTCTAACGTTTCAGTTCAAATACATCGTCCAAATGCAAATGTGGGTGTGTATGTGTCACGGGAAGGTGAATATATCGACAAATGTATCGACGGGTGTACTACGCAATCTAGTATGGTCGAGACACTGCGCCCGGGCAAAACCCCTATACGGCGACGCTGCCTTTTTTTTCTCTACACCGCATCGGGAAACAAATCCGACCCCTATTGCGATTTTCAAAGGAAAACGAATGAAAAAACCCACCGGACCTTGAGAGAGACGCATATAGTCGGAATATATTTTTGCGCCACCCTGTATAACAAGTTTTAAATTCAACCGTCGTCGTTTAGCCCTAACATTAAAATGAACAACATTGGAAGGTTTAAGAGTTCATTTTGTGAACTGAGATTTCAAAATCAGATTTTGAACAACACCATTTTAAAGCTACGGGGGAAAATCGAAAAAGAGATATTTTGATTTTGTGAATGTTTTTTAATTGAAACTTTCAAATATAAATAAAACAACTCATCTAAAAATTGAATTCCAACCCCAACCCTAAATTATATTATATATTATATAACATCATTTTAGATTTTTGGTAATATTGCCAGGGTTAAGTTTATTTTTTATTATTTTATGTTTTTTGATGGCATTAAATGAAATTATTATAATTATAAGGTTAGATAACAACAAAACGACACAAACTAAAAAATGAAATTTTGTGAAAATATATCTATATAAGTCAGAATAAACAATATAACATTTATTATAAAGAATATCAGAAAACACAACATAATAAAAATAGAACACGGTCGCACTACTATAAATCTAAAAGACATTTAAATTATAAAAAAAATAGAACCGCAGTTAAGAATCTGATTCTGATAACGATCCTTCAATTCCATCTTTCAATTAAAATTTCACACGAGTAAATTGCCAACCAAGCCCAAGTCCCTGTTGTTTTCGAAAAATATTTTACCAATTTTACAATAATTTTTTAAAAAAGACGAAAAAACTCCCTCAAAGTCCCGTGATTTTGCTTAAACCCCCCAACTAGGATTTCGGGTTATTTTTTGAAAAAAAAAAAAAACCTAATACCATAAGTCACTTCGTTAACGTATTTCAACCAAAACACGGGAGACAAACTATGGGTTATTCGATGTTAAAACGATACGTTAGATATATTAAGAAATAGACGGACCCCTGAGACTTTGGGAAGGCACCCATGTCCAAAAAAGAAAAAAAATCACCCCAAACATTCCTGCTTAAATATTGCAAAACAATTAAGTACGACTGAAGTGGCAACGCCGGCTGCTCTCGGTGGGCGGGCCCCACGCACCAGCCCCCAAGAGGCGTGACCCGACCGAAAATTGGGCGTGGCCTTTCGCAAAGTTCCGTCTCCGCTCCACGAATATTGCCATTTATTCGATTCAACCTTTATACTTTTTAAAAGAAAAAAATATATAACCATACTTACCTGTATAAAAAAAAACATCTACCAAATCAAAGCGACAGATTAAAAGGAAAAGAAACTCAAGCCCCCCCTCACCCCCGGTTACCACGCAAAGAAAAAAGTGCCGCCACCGAACAAGTGACAATATTTAATACTCTACCCGCCCCCTCACCACCACCGAAACCCCTTAGTCTGAAGGGGAGCGATTAAAAGGAAATAATTAACCCTCGCCGTTAAAGTAGTGGGATGCAATAAAATTCCAACCAATAAATAATAAAAAAAAAATTACAACAAACCAATCACGGCAAAAACTAAGCGAGTGACAAAATATAATAGTAGTAAATCTCTGAAGTAAATAAATGCAATGCATGCCAACACATAAGTGCTTGATTTGTTCTGTACCTTATGCGGCCGGACCGTCCCTCCATTTTAAGCACTGACTGCGCCCCCTTTTTAATTTCGGTAATTTTTTTCGATCTGTTTTTTTTGTTTCGTCGCCTTTAGCTCACTGATGAACTGCGGGGCGTTGTTTTCTAGAGGACGCGCCCGTTTCGGGGGCGTGGCCTACGTTTGGGCGAGTTTACCGCCCGACTAATCTTTTCGTACCGACTGTACCGGATAAACAGGGTGGCCACCTTTTCAATGGGATCGTGTCGGTTAAATGGGACAAAAGCTGAGAATTTGGATGCACAATACCCTGAAACTGCCAAAACATTTTGAAAAACGAAATTTTTTCCTTTCTAGTAATATCATTTCCAATTCTAAAAAAAGCAGTTTCACAAAAATTGTAAGTTTATAATTAGTCAATTGTTTCTCGTTTTTGAGAAAAGAGCAACTAAAAATCGAAATTTTAAAATCTGTCGAAAATGGTTTGAGATTGGACTATTGGTTTACACTTTTCAATCTTTTTCTTGAATAACTTTCGTATAAAACTATATATCTAGTTTTGCCGCCTTGTTTGAATAACATTTTACTTCATTAGACATAAACTACTTCCTTGGGTGCATGCCTATCTTCTTTTGTTATATACTTTTTTTATACAAATAAATTAACCAAAAAATTAAAAGTACATATTTGACAAAAAGCCCATGTCTTTTCTTATGCTTTTTAGTTTGTAAATTGTACGGGGTTAAATAACGAATAACAATTAATTAATATACCTTAATTTTGGATTATGTGATTTCAGCTTCGCATCCTAATAATGTGTTTACAATAAAATCATATTAATATTATTTCGGGCAAATCAACATTGAAAGAATTATAGCGATTCCGGAAAAGGTTTTGGAAGCTATTGATGGTAAGGTTATTTCCTGTATGACCTTGTTGGATTTTTTGAAGGCTTTTTTGATTGCATTAGTCATGAGTCTCTTGTAAACAAACTTGAAATTTACGGCATAAGGAGTCAAAGTTTCAACTTTTTTAAATCTTACCTTAACAACAGACAACAAATCGTTACGTTACCTAACAGTGATGTTTCAGAACCGTAATTTGTTTCGCTTGGGGTGCCACAAGGCTCAATACTGGGTGGAATTCTTTTCGTAATATTTATTAACGACATACCATCGAAAATAAAATCACATATAGTTTCTTTATATGCAGATGACACAATACTTAATTTGGGTAGAGCCGTAAGTGACTCAGTATCTGCAAGTACACAGGCGATTGTTGATATAGAAGAGTGGTTTGGTTCGAATCGTCTTCAATTGAATTACAATAAATTAGAGGGTGTCTTTTTTTCAGGTGCACCTGACGTTAGCTCTCATGTGTCTACATAAATAGTAGACTTAACTGGTACGTACATATAGATATGCTGGCCGGGAGATTACAACGTAATATTTTAGTAACTTCATTAACGTTACATCATATAGCACATTGTTGTGGGGAGACTCTTCAGAGGCCCATAGAGTCTTTGTATTGCACACAAAGCATCAGTGTAAAAAATGAGTTAAAAAAATGAGAATATTAACTCTCCCTTCAATTTTCATCTATCAGTGCATAATGTGTGATCATGAAAATAAAAAACAAATAAATTCCGACATTCACATGTATGATACGAGACATAAAAATGGTTGTTACCCATCATGGTGTAAATAAAATCAATAGATTATTATCATACATTATTATACAATTCAATACCAACTTCATTGGTATTGAATTGTATAACAAAATACCAGCAACTCTTAAAAACAACTTTCCTGGATTGAATTTAAAAAATAATATTAAACATATTTAAACGGAAGAATGCTTTTAAAACTATAAAGATTCTTGACTCATATTGACAACTTTATATGTATTTTTTATACATGCTGGGTCAATAAACAATTATTATTATTATTATTAATAAAATTACATTAGGATAACATTCTATGGTTCTAAAATTTCAAATAAATGCGCTAGCAAGGAAATACTAAAACCAAATAATTTGGTTTTTCCAGAATATTTCTTGGTCCACCCCCGCTAATTTAAATTGGTAACTTCATAACTTTAAGTATAGACGGATAAACATTTATTAATAACAATAAAATCTAAAAATAAAAACTCTGTATGTTTTAAGGCTACCCACAAAATCCCATTGAAAAAGTGGACACATGTAGAGTGGCTAACCGTCGTAGGAGAACGTTTAAACAATTTATCGAAATTACGAAAACACTTTATTTCGCAGCGGTCATACTAGAACATGTTCGTAAAAAAAAATAATCAGTTTTGAAAAATACATCTTCTGTTGCGCAATGTCCACTTAAAATTACTACTTCTACAGTCAGTTTTCACCGCATAATTTAGAGCTAATACATTCTACTGAGTCCGATAACGGTACAGTCTGAAACAAAACGGGATTTTTTTTTGTTTTTTTTTTTTTGTTGCAAACTGCAAGAACATAATTCCCCGCCCTCACTGCCCGTTTCGGGGCGTGCCCTTCTACAAAAATGGACGAGAGGTGGGACAGAACCGCTCGAAACGTGGGTAATTGGTGTTCCGAGGTGGGTTTGTCCTCAAAAACGAAACCCGAAAAACAAAAAATTATAATTATATATATATATATATATATATATATATATATATATATATATATATATATATATATATATATATATATATATATATATATATATATATATATATATATATATATATATATAACGACGCACCAACACAATCAACCTAAAAAAAACCTTATAGTCCCTAAATGAAAAAACTGAAATCCTATATCCCGCGCCGACGTCGTGTCCTCTTTCTCTCCCGATCGCGATCATCAACATCATCAACATCATCGTCAAAACGCAACCCCCCTGACCCGGTTTACCTACCTGGCGGCATCGAGATCGGAGGCGGTCGCATCAACGGTCCCCCGATGAGGGGCGGACCCCGCAACACGCCCACGGGCGCCATCACGGGCCCCCCCGCCATCATGGCGAGCGGCGGGCCCGACACCCGCACCGGAAAGCCTCCGGCGGCAGCGCGCATCATCGCCAGCTGCTGGTTGTGCGCGGCCTGCACCTCGTGCGCCTTCGCCTGCGCCATCTGGTGAGCGACTTGCTGCGCCGCCGACACCGCTATGGCCAACTGCAACGAGTTGTTTGCCTGCTGCACCTGCGACCGCGACGAACGAATCGATACCGTTAAAAGCGCCGGATCTGAATCCGTGCGATTTTACTTACCTCCGACGCTGACGCGCCCGAACTCGACGCCCTATCCTCCGACTTGCCGCGCACGTGTCTCGCGTACCTCGGATGTCTCGTCCTTATTTCCTCCAGGGAAATATCCTCTGGCGGGTGGATTATCCTGCTGGAACCGCCGGTAGCGGCGATCGTGTTGACCTTCGCGGAATCGGTCACCGGAATACTGCTCGTCGGGTGCGTGGTCGGCGGCGCGCTTATGGTGGCCGCTGGGCGCACAAAAGAGAACGAAAACCAAAAATGACAACAATACACAACTAATAACACGCAATAAAAGCTGTTAAAATTAATTTGTTAAAAAAAAATCTTACCAGCTGAAATGGGCTTAAAATCGGCCCCAACTACCGCTGCACCGGGGGACGACGAGGGCACGGCACTGGGAAATAGGGGCTTCGGCGGGCCCGCTTGACCCTGCATCATGGCCAAATGGGGCGGCATCATGTGTGCCATGCTACACAATTCAAACATACACTTCCACAAAATTCGGGAAAAATGTATTTAATTGTTTCCTAATTACAATGGAGAAACTTGAACATCATATTCAGCAGATAAAAATAACTAAAAAACTTCATATAAACATGGCAGCTATTTTAATAATTATAATTAACGTACTAAAATTAATTATTATGAAATTTATTTATTTATAAAATCCCACAAGCTAAGGAGAGAAAAATAAATAACTAATGTAAGCTATGTTATGTCATGTTATGCTTAACCTCAGTAGTGAAAAAGCGCAAATGCTAGTTGGTCCTTTGGTACGGTACAAAAAGTGTGCTATTCAGACGAGTTATTGGAAAAACAAAATCAACTGGAATTAATAAGTTTGAACAGCAACATCAAGTCGATTTTCAAACCTAATGAGTTTTCAAGGGCCACATAATCGATATTAGCCAAGTCGACAACCAACTTAAAAGATATATAGCAAAGTGAACGGTGCTGAACTTGTTTGATTCGACAAATATGACATTAATAATCAGGATTCCATAGAGATGAAGCATATTCCAAGCGAGTTAAAATAGGAGTTATATGGATATGGATGGAAAATCTAATTATGACCTCTTAATAAAGCCCAACATTTTATAAGCCTTTGAAATTATGTAGGATATATGATTGTTAAAGGTAAAGCCGCTTTCGAAGAGCACACCAAATTAAATTAATATTATTATAAAATTGTTATGCACGTAAAAGCGAATTTCAATTTCAATCATCATGGAAAGCTCAGATATTGGGTGAAGTTGCAAACAATTTTTTTTCTCGAAAAATATTCGCTTTACCAAAAAAACTGAAGTGACCATTTTTGTTTAAAAGTGATCTGGATATCTAAGTTTATAACAAAATTGCGATAAACGATTGGAGTACCACATTTTTATTATTGAAATTTAATTGAAACGGTCTTGAGAATGCACAAGTTCATCAATAATATAAATTTGCTTTTAAGTGCCAATAATACCTACCATGCTTGCAGAATTATCTAGAAGCTTTTTAAAAATAGTAAAAAAAAATGTCAGAATATTTTAACACTTTGTGACTCCAAACGCTTTTTTGTACATAAGTTTATATGAACTTTTGTATTTATTTTTTTGTGCTAAATATACTGATAAAGTTTCTTCAACCATCATTGTGAAAAAAATTCTTTGTTTTTGACACTCGGGTTTTCAGTGCAACTATGAACTGTTTTCTTTTTATTAAATGAATAAAGCAAAGGAAAAATTAAAAATAATATACATGTGTACATCATAACAATTTTTTTACAAAAACATAAAAAACAAGTAATAACTAAATTTGATAGAACAAAAAAGAGCCATTAAAATATATTCTAAATAAAAAACAGGAATAAAAACTAAACTTCGTGAAAGCTTAGTTTTATCCAGATAATTCTAGAACTACCCAGAATTGACGACCTATGATTCTCCATACAGCCACATCTAGGACAATCCATATAAACATTTGCTTACCCTGGATGCATAAACGGTGACCCCATAGGAGCCATGGACATCATTGGGGGCATACCGGGAGGCATACCAGGGGGAGGCATTATCCCCGGCATCATCCCGGGTACCATGCTCGGAGCTGTACCCAGCAATCCTTCTGGTTTTAATTTTTTGCTAGCGGGCTCGTCGTCGTCGGATCCCGAATCGTTGCCGACACTACGAGTGCCTTGCTTCTGCCTCTCGTGCTCTCTGAGGTCTAGTGGAGGTATGCCTTTGAAATAGTAAAGCAAGGGCGAATAAAACATGCCGATATCCCAGGAATCGGGATTATGTAATGGAATTACGCAAAATATTCGACGACGGCGCAAGGTTTCACACCAGACTGAGAAGGAGGACTGGTAAACATAGGTTTTCTAAAAATAGATTACCTTCCATGCCATATATTTCAATATCTACATTGGAGCGGTTTGGTAACGAGTTGGGAACTTTGTCTATGGTTTCCTTGTGCACTTGCATGCAATGTATAGACAGGCCGGGGCCTGTGTACAACTTCTTGTGACATATGTGGCATTTAAAGTGCTTGGCTTTCTGATGCTGTATAAGGATTTTTTCATCCTCAAATTCCCGGTTACAGTACCTAAATATAGTTAAGGAAGACATTACGTACTACGCAATACTAAAAATAAAACGCGTCGGAAAATCTATAATTACACCACTCGACTGATAGGCGTGCATCTATCGCAAAAAGGATACCAGCACCACGGTTTCGACAGCTTCTTCTTCTTGCGACCCATTTTCTGCAAATGATTACACTAATATGTACACAATCACAGTCGGAAACGGAACATTTATCACCACGTCGCGAATTATCACAATACGCACAAGTCCTCCCTAAAGCTACGCAACTTTCAAAGATGGCCAACAATCAAGAAAAAGGCAACGAAAAGCGTATGACACAGTCATCCGCAAACACGATGACGTTGTGCAACTATCATTTCCTGTAACTAATTTAAAAATATGTCCAACAGATGGCACTTGAGCGGACATTTTTTGTCAGAGGCGTCATGTTCCTGTTCAGCGAAGATTTCTCTTTATTTTCATTTTTAGAACTGTTTCATGTCCCTTTTGTATACAAGTTTGAGGAGGTTGACGCTGATTCTATCGAAGCAAAAGTTGAAAATTAATGTTCACTTTCGCTGTGAGATGGCGACTCAATCGTCCGTTTTACATTCAAATAAAATTTACTTGGACTTTTTCGTTTCTCTAAAGAAATGAGGTAGCTTTACGCAAACCGCATTGTAAAAAGAGGCCGTTAAAGTTGTTTCGCTTTAATTAAACCAAAACCGATAACTGAGATAATAATAGCCTCGGGTATGCGTTAAATGAGCAGTTTCGTAAGCGTCATATAAAATTCGCGATGGGGCTCCCACCCGTTTCTCGTATGTCGAAAAATCGGACTGCAGAGGGAACGTTTCCCCCCTTGAAAATCTATTGATAATAGGCTGCGGGCACCGGACCGTGGCGAAGAAAAGCCACAACTGGACCGATAAACACTCGGCGTGTTCGATTTTTATTCTTTTTAATTTATTTCTTGCCACTGAACGCGTGTTAAAGTCAACATCGTTGCGTTATGAAATGCGTCGCGTAGGAGAGATTCAGATACGCTTTGATGTGATTTTCCGGTAAGTTTTCACTCAATCAGTTCCGGTGCGGAAATTTTTGAATTAAAAAATTTAAAATTTAAATTAAAAAAAAATGGAAGCTGTGCTAATTAATTTTAAATTTTTTATTCGCCCAAGCTGATTTGGTCGTAGACATTTTTTCTGGCAACCATGAGCTATCACTAATTCACTAATTAGCTAGTCAAGCCCTATTTCTATCGTCCTTTACTAGGAGAAAGTGTTTTTAATACAAATTTAAATATTTCAGAGATAATCACCACGTTTTTTAAGCATTTCATAGAAATGACGAAACAAAATCGCTGACGCCTTTAAATATCTAAGAATTATTTACGGCACAGCTTGATAAGAAAACATAAATTTTGCTTATAACTATGTCTTTCGTGATGCTATTTTTTTAAAGTAATTTTGCATTTTTCCATATTTTCCTGAAAGACAACTTCTTTAACGGCAAGCGTAACTTTACCACGTCAGTGAAATTATTTATTTTGTTGCACTTAAGAATACATTACATGTGCCAAAAAATAAAAACAAACACTCGAAACACAAAAAAATTCTGGTGCGTAAACAAACCACTGGGAAAAAACATTAAATAATGTTTTGGGGCACATAAGATGTAACATATAATTTATACATAAATATACAAAGAAAGTTCAAACCATTTTACACAGCATGAGGTATGTAAATGCACATTACACTTATTACAAACATAAATTGTGTCGCTGTGGCAGATTCTACATCTCCTGCGGGCTTTGTTATCATAACGCACTTCATCTATGGTAGGTGCAAGATTTCTTTGAGTAATTGTTTTATCAGTTTTTATAAGTCGCAAAGCAATGTAAGATTTAAAATCAAATCAATCACTTAGTCATCAAAAAACATAAAAAATATTTCAAGCGTAGTTTTTCCAGAAAGCCTATTTTTTAGTTCTTCACATGATCTAAATTCATCGGACATAGGTGTGTGAGTGTACTCAATCTGACCTTTCCTCCATTTGACAGTAGAAGCAAGAATGTCGTTTGCAGAAACCATACGTCTTCTTTTAAATTCCAGGGTTTCATCATCTGATGAGTCCCATTCAGGTTCAGTAGTCGATGAATTACAGGACTGTTGAAGGACAGCATTGTAGACTCTTGTAGATTTATGTTATCGTTCATATCTTCTTCGCCAGTCAAGGTATCTCTCGTCTGGTGGACTAGAGACCGCGTCAATATGTTCTGTAAATATTTTTTCACGTTATTTTTAGCATAAATTTAAAAGGAATGGAATGCTACAATACATAAGAATACGTAAATCCAAATTATACTTACGACTTTAATTGTTATTGTCCTCATTCATCACGATCTCCTCCATAGCCGCCTCTAATTCCTTTTGAGTCAAATACCTTGAAAATACCATATTTTAGGAACTGGAACGTTCACTGCACAAGGCACAAACTAATACTAAAGAACACGCTAATTGTTGGATGTTTATTCTACATGCGCTGACTTGTCTAGACTTGCAATAACAAAGTTTTGTTTCACAGACAAACAATAATAAATATATTATTTCCAATGTATGTTTTCGGCGATGTAATCTACATGCTATAGACTTAACAAAAAAGGCAATACAAATCCAAAATATATTTTTTTAATATTTTGGATTTACTTGAAAATGTGATCATGAAAGGTTAATAAAAACGTGTGCCCAATTGTTCTCACAACTAAAATTATTGATGATTTTTAAATTTATGCAATAAGCAATATGATTTATCATAATATATTATGCAATAAGTGCGGCAAACGGCATTTGACTCACGAGTTTATTTGACACGAGCGGAGCGAGTTTTTAACAAACGAGTGAGTTAAAAAGTTTACCAAACATGTTGCATAAACAATTGCATTAAAATTTTCGAAAAGAACAGCGCCCATTACTTAAAGATACCTATTTCAAAAGGTTAAATTATAAAATAAAAATCCCTTAGGTGCCAATGAAATACCTACCTACACCTACACTGTAGTATATTTAATAGTAGTTGTAATTTTTTTTAGCTTAAACAATAGCGTAAATACTTGTTCCTCTAACCTCTACTTTATTTTGTTAATTTTAGCTGTTAATTTTATTTTGTTTGTAAGTACACTGTATAGTGGAAACCACCTATATAGATAATGAACCAAAGTAAATTAATTAATAATAAAATATTTTTCTTTCGTTTTTTTTTCTTGCATTCAGAGGTATTTTTCTCGAAAGCGGTGCGCTTTAGCGAGGAATAAGACGATGCACTTTATTTGTGTAAAATTTTCAAATTTTATAGTCAAAGTTTTTAAAATTAACAACCACAAAATTTGCCAATTTTTTTCCAAGGCTCTCCCCTATATTACCCGTCCATGAGGATAATCAAACAAGTTTCAATTCGTTCAACAGCGCAAAAGTTTAAGAAAATGTAACAAATTTTATGTAATATCCTTACATGGTTTGAAAAAGGAACGTGGATTGCACCTTTAACGGCCTTTCCATCTTAGGACAGAGAATAAGTGCGTTATCAAACCAACCAAAACTTGTCATAGCGACCGCCGCCTCGCAGACACCGTATAATTGGTTGGAAGCGCAAAATTCTTCGAATCGTTCCTATAATTAAAAATTGCAACAATAATTCGTCCCCATTAAAATAATTTCGCCTTTTGTTGGCGGTGTAGAGAGAGAAACGCGTAAGGAATCAATCGCGTCCGATTTTGCCTGAAACCGTATTGGCGAACGATTAAAAAAGAAATGTCTTTTACAAACAAATCGGAATTATTACCTTTGCGCCAACTTCAACGCGCGGAAGCGCTTAAAAAATTGATTGCTTATTGCTCGGCAAGCAATAAAAATTTCGTAAATTAAGACCGACGACAATTTGATAGACTTTTTTTTTGGGTCCACCACAAATTCAAATTAGCGCGGGCAGGATTATCTAATGCACAGAATCGGCTGACACGAACCGGACGTTTGGCGAGAACCTAGTAGGCCGCGGAGCATGCGCATAGGAATTGAACATTTCCGACGACAAAATTTTTATGCTCAATTTCTTAATTATGATAAAACACGCTACTTTTCTAACCGCTGAAAAACCAGATTTCCTTGATTTCCTGATATAACTGGGGCGCGGCCGCAGCCGCCTTTTTTTTGCGAGGCAATTGTAGCAGCTTATGTAATAATTCAATTTATTTATTGATACGAGCACACACGTGCAATATGTGCGAATATGTTTATATAATAAATTGTCCGGGACGGGGTTTAATTCTCTATTTGGCAACTAACTCGACATAATATCAGATTTCTAGAATTACCTAAGCGCGAATGCTAAAGTCATATGGGAGGCAGGCAACTGACCATACACATATATTCAATGGTAGCACCCCATCTAATGCAAATAAGGGAAAATATTCTCTGTAGAAAGCCCTTTTATCTACCAGATATTAGGAAAAAAAATGTGCCGACGAACCGTTTTCCGCCATTTTAGATTTTACATCAACGTACTACCTAGTCAGTATTGATCAACAGAGAAATATTATCTGAATGTCCTAAGCGATAATTATTATTTACTTTCACTGCGAAAATAAATAGTGTCGACAATGGGAATTCAGTAAAACTCACTACAAAAATTATAGAACAGTAATTATAAGTTATTATCACTTCGCAGGGGACCATGACCAACGACCATGGCAGTGGATAACTGGTTCCAAACCTGGCATCCCCCTGATAGCATTTTTCAGCAATCACCTTTCTTCGATACGCTCGGAAACGAGAACTTCACCGTTAAACAGGATCGGATTCGAGGTAAGCGTTTTTAGCGTCTAATGCAGAAAACTTTTAAGTTAAAATACGAAGAAATATTAATTCATCTCAAAATAGTGGCCTTTGCCTTCACAAGCGCCGAAAAATTCCCATGCGTATAGCTGGTTGCATACTTCGAGTATACCTACAATGTTTTTAGGATAATGATAGGGAAATTAATTCGTTTTTGGGAAAAAATATTACGGGACCCAAGAAAAAGACATAGATAGTTTTTTCCATTGCACTAAACATAGCCATTGCTGTACCCCACAGTTAAAACCAAGAGACCGGAGTCCTTCTTACCGCTCTTGCTGTCGCTGGGATTGATGCAACCATCGATAACAGAGAAAAAAATCAATCAGCCTTTAGAACTCACGGGTCCGTTCAAAACATGGTACCGATGGAAGACGTTGGACCTGGACTATCCTTCGGATGAGGCCCGGTCTCGTGCAGTAGCGTACGACGAGTTTATCCCCGAAAATAACCTGCCTCTAGGTAGTGTAAGTTTTGATCAAGTCGAAAGCTCCAGCGCCCTCTACCGTTCGACAAAGTTAAGTGTTTGCCGTTTCAGGATTGGAGACTTACGGGGATCGGATATTCCTGTCAATGCCCAAATGGAAGCCGGGGGTACCGGTGACCTTGGCCACGGTGCCAAGACTAGCCGTGGAAGAGTCTCCCAAGCTGGTGCCGTATCCAAATTGGGATTGGCACTCGGAAAGTGAGTCAACATTTTGATATTTAATTTTTAATTTAAATAGGATTTTATGGATTGATGTTTTAAAGTGCAAGTAACTTTATCACGAATATGGTGATAATAGTATTTATATTTCAAATAACATGAATACTTAATACTTAAAAAACATGCTTGACTTATAATATAACCCGAAATACTGAATACCAGTTAAAGACGAACAAATTTGATAATACCACATCTGGTATTGTTTGCAGGTTTACAAAGTTATATTCAAAATGGTTCCAGAAAAGCGTTTCCGCTCTTAAACTTTCATTTTTTAACTTTCATTTTAAAACAAGATATCCAGTTTTTAGTTAACAACAAAAAAAGTTAGAAAATTGTTCTTTTTTACTTTTACAATTTTAATGAAATAATATTCCAACCAAAAAAAAACACTACTATTATTAGTAATTTTTAGCGAACCACTTTTCCTCATATTGCCACGCACTGTTTTAAGTATTTATACCTCCAGTGTTCCTTATCAAATCGTAGGAAACTCTTATACGATCCTTCAGCTCTCCTACAGATAGATAATTATATTAACGATATTGTTGTGACAATGAAAACAAGTGAATTTTATTTTTTAAAGCGAAAACCGTACATTGGACCGAACAAAATCAAGAAATTTGCTTCTTTGGAAATGATTGTAGACTGTAAGAACAAGAACAATTATTTTAAGAGAAATCAGTGGCGTACCATCAATGCCCACCAAAATAGACATGTGACATTCCTTACGCCCGCCACTGGTGTATTTTCAAAGAAAATGTGATGCACTAAATAATGCCTCTTGATACATAAGTGTGCCAAATTTCATTGTAATATCTAAAATGGCATTATTATTATTAAAAATTAAAAAAATTATAAAACACCTCGTATAATTTCTGCCTACTTTTTTGTATTGATATTGTGTTTTCTACTACTCGTTGCACGTTTGCGGCGACGATTTAAGAAAATGCAGTAAATTCCGTTACAAGTGTCGAAACGTATACGCTGCCCGAATTGGTTAGCAATTGTTTTTCAGATCACTGGACGTGCGGCATTGACACGCGACGATTTAAAATTGTATGGAAATTTTAAATAGTTCATTAAATCGACGCAATTTGCACAAAAATGCGCGTTCACTTTCCGTTCACACCTGAAGCATTTCGTGTCGCAACATTTCGATTTTTATAGCTTTTTCTCAGCGCTATGATTAGTTTTAGAGATATTTAAATAATTAGCTTAGATGCGCCAAAAAGAACAATAAACAGACTGTTAATGTTAAGTTATTTTCTTAAAAATACGCATGCAGGGTTGATAAATCAAACAATAATTAATTATTAACATTAACAATTAAAAATTAATCGTACAAGCATTAATTACGAACATGAGTAATTAAAATAAAATCCCAATTATTTGATTTAATTTTTGAGAATAAATATTTGAAATCAAACAAAAATATGTTTTTACAAAGACGGTCTATACAGGGTGTTTTCTAAATCACACAACAATTAATTATTATTAATTATTAAATTAATATATTATTAAAGGAAGTTTTTACAAACACAAAGACAGTCGTCTATAGAGGGTGTGTTTGAATAAAATAAGCCACACAAAAATAATTAATGTTAATAAATAAAATATAAAATTATTTAATTTCAAGCCACAATTAATAAAATATAGGATGTCCCACTGTTATACCCCAGGAGTATGTTGCTTGGGTGATTTCAAGAAAAAAATATCAAAGTAAGAAGAACTTGATACAATTTCGGTTTTTACCCGCACCCCATCTTACCTGTACAAGCTATAAAATCTGCAGACTACCTTTCAAGATTTGATAGTCGCTGGATATTGAAAAAATTAGAGATTTATCGAATAACATTGTTTAGTGATGAAGCCTCATTCACCCGAAACAGTACCAATAACACCAGGAATTCACATTGTTGGGCACTTGAGAATTGACGACCGCCTCGTTATTTTGTCTCACGCTCATTTGTTATTTACGTTTCATTGAAAAATATTTCCAAGATTACTTGATAATGTTCCTCTTAACAACACGATGGCGCACAAGCAACAGAATTTCTTAATCAAAATTATAAAAACCCGTGGATTGAAAAAGATTCAGCAGTTCCTTGCCCAGCAAGGTCACCTGAGCATAATCCCTTAGATTACTTTTTCACTTGAATTGAATTGAAAACAGAGCGCAACTGGTACCTAAAATTATGTATGCCGCAGAAACTATTCCTGCTTCAATTCTAAGAAGAGCTAGACTATGTATACGGCAACTAGGTGGACATTTTGAACAACAAAAAATTAAGGGGTTTCTTTTAAATGGTCCTTAAAATTTGAAATACTTGTAGCTCAGTCAGAACAGCGTTCCGGGTATTCATTTCTAACTTGATCATCCCAGCAATACAGTCAGAAAGCTATTGCGGTATGTGGTCGGACACACCCTGTATATATGGAATCCCATAGACAGATGTTTTTACGCTGTCTGTACAGGGTGTTTTCAAATAATCGCCCAAGAATAAATTTTTTTGATTTTTTTATTTAAAGCTTCCTTCCCATCAGAATATTGTTTTTATAAAGTCGGTCTATACGTCGTGTTTTCTAGTAAATAAAACACAATTACTAAAATATATTTTAAATCCAATAGCAGGATGTTTTTACGAAGTCCGTCTATACTTTGTGCTTTCTAGTAAACAAAACATACAAAATAAAATTCCGATTTGTTTGTTTGACAGTCACCATAGAATATTTGAAATTCCAAAGAAATATGTTTTTACGTAGGCACCAAATAACATTGTGATTTGTTTGATTTAAAGCCACGATTAATTAAGTCAAATTGTCCCATAGAAAGATGTTCATACAAAGACGGTCTGTACAGGGTGTTTTCTAATTAGACGTCAATATTAAAGGGGTGATTTTAAGCAAAATGCTTCGTATGTGTCTAAATTTTTTAATCTTTCAGATACAGGCTGGTAAACCTAAAATAAATAACTGGAAATAGCACTATAGGAATGATATTCCTATACTGGTATGCCGGTACTATCGAGAAGTACTTACTGATTTGCCAGTTTTCTTAATATGTCCGGCAGTTGAGATCTCGTGTGACAAATAATAAAAGTTAAAACGTTTTGAACATTCGTTCATATGACACGCACACAAAAATTCCCTTCTTTCCTACGGTTTGTCCTATTTTTTTCCCTAAATAATTTATCAATTATTAACTTCAATATTTCTATAAAACCTAACATCAAAGATATCTGCTAAATTTTCAGAGCCATTCAATTCTTCAAATTTGTATCATTATCAGCCTGATGAGGCTAACCAAAGGACACCCATTGAATCTTATAAGCCGCCGAATATTTTCAGAAACCTGCGATGTCATAACGTCGGTATTTCGAATGCAAGCCGACCACTGCGGAAGACTGTGGGTCTTAGACTCGGGCACCATAGAAGTCACCATAGACGCTAAGCAACATTGCCCTCCGAAACTGCTCATATTCGACCTCCGCACCGACGAACTGATCGAGAAATACGTTTTCCCGGACGAGTTCATCAAAGAGGACGGACTGTACTCCAACATAGTACTCGATTTCAGAGACGGCGACTGCGACAACATCTACGCCTATATGACTGACGTGTGGAGGTACGGCATCGTCGTGTTCAACCTAGAAACCAAGGACGCTTGGAGGGTGACCCATCCCTACTTCTATCCTGATCCGTTCGCCGCAACCTACAGACTGCACCACCTGGAGTTCCATTGGATGGACGGGATTTTTGGTGCGGCCCTGAGCCCCGCCCGGCACCCGTTCGACGACAGAACTCTGTACTTCCATCCGATGTCCAGTTTTCGAGAGTTTTACGTGAAAACGTCCGTACTGCAAGACGAACACCGCTGGCAAGAGGACAAACACCAGTTCAAGGTATTCGGTCAGAGCAGGGGCGCAAAAGGCCACGTGTCCGGTTCAGTTATGGACAGGAATGGCGTCCTCTTCTACAATCTAGTCACCAAGGACACCATAGGGTGCTGGAACTCGCGGAAGCCTTACAAAAGGGAGAACCTGGGCGTGGTGGCGACCAGTCGGCAGACTTTGGTGTTCCCCAACGACATCAGGCTCGATCAGGAAGAGAGACAGAGCATTTGGATAGTCACCAACAGGCTGCCTTACTATTTGATCGAGGGACTCGACACCAGCAGGATCAATTTCAGGGTGATGTCGGCCTACACCGACGAAGCAGTCAGGGGTACCATCTGCGACACCGACATTAACCGGAACGACACCTACGTACCTTTCGAAGGCGAAAACGATTGTTACTGAATGCCGTAAAAATAAATTTTTCTATTTTTTTGAAAAAATTTTTATTTCGAATCGAAATGGACGCTAACTATTTCTCGCTCGTTCGATGAGTCTCGTCTGAGAAACCCCCGTTTGATGAGGCAGCGGCATATTTCTCTCCGGTCGACGTCCCCGAGAGCTGGTATCGATTTCAGGTGATCCGACTTGGAAGTGAGATAAGTCTCGCCCTTTTTTATGTAAAAGCTCTCCCCCTTCACCGACGCTTCTAAATCAACTTCCACTTCTAACACATATCACGCGAAAACATTCATCTTACCAATAGTACTCAAGTCATCTACTCCAATTTCCTCCAGCGTTTTGCTCATTCTGCCTCCTCCGGTCCCTATTCTAGCAACGTCGTCTTCTGTGACGCCGAGAACCCTCATCGCTTTCATTTTAGCGCACATATCAGAACCCTCGATGAACTCGAAGATATCGAGCGGGTTCTCCTCTCTCTGTTGCATCTGATTCACCAGAGAATCGAAAGACCTGAAAGCTAGGCGTGCCTCCTGGGCCGTACGAATGCCTCAAGGTACCTACCTGGAAGATGCCTGCTTGGCGTTATCGACCAAGAGCCGAATCTGGTTGAACAAAACGCCGCCAGGTTCCTGAAATCTAATCTTGACTCGCTCCAACTCTAGGACGTCCACGTCCAAGTGGCATATTGACAAAGACTTGGCTCTCGTCTTTTGCCAGAGGTCGTCGAACGACAGTTGATGAGAAAATTCCGATAGCTCTCTGTAGTAACTAGAGAAAGACTTGAATGGCATATCAGGATAGAGCAAAGATATACCTGAGCATGGAAAACCATGCGTACACGGATGGAGCATGGTCCACTACTTGTGCCAAAAGGAAATCCAAGCAGACCGGCTGCAGACCTCGTTCCTTGTGGCATACGAAGCTTCCCGCTAGGAACGCAATGAAATTCAATAACAGGCAGCGCAATATACCGAGAAAGAGCCAGGGTAACATGAGATTCGGTTTTTCCTCCTGGAAATCACTCTGGTGAACTTGGAGGACGCGGTTTCGAGCGATGTGTATACAAATATGGCCGGCCAGATCATTAAAGCGTAGCATACTAGAAACAAGTGGTGTGTGGAGGATCTGGCGATTACTATGAAGCGGAGGATGTATTTCACAAAGTCTTCGAGGTGGGGGGCTCTTTCCAGTTTGACGTCCGATATCGATTTCAGGTTTGATATGAGATACAGCGGTGACATATCCAGCGAGAGACTGAAGATTCCCAAGAGGATTATGATAAGGGCTTCTACGCGACTCGGTATTCCTATTAGGCGCGCTAGCATTTCGTTTTGAAAATTCCAGGATGTGTCACTCTATGTCAAATTGGCATTATTCTAACCTAACATTTACGATGGTGGTCAAAAGTAATTAAGCAATTGACATATTTGAAAATGTAAAGGTCTATTTATATATATCAGTGCTGTGTCACGTGCTAGTGAAAAATAAGTACTGATTTTTTACCATTAGTGTTGCTTCGATGTCCATTTCGTTACTTTTAGTGGACAATGCTGTATTTCACTGACAACCTGAAAACGATTCGAATTTGCCATGGATGAAAAACTAATAGAATTGCAACGGAATTATCCAGACTTGTATGATTCATTTCATAAAAAGTATATTATATATTTGTGGTAATATAGGAAAAAAATTAAAACTCGAAGATAAGTGGTACTTTTTATATTAAAAAATAGTACGAACGTTAAGAATTATGTTATGTCATGTAAATTACAGTAGAAGAACAGTGTTTAAATTATACAAACATTAATCTATTCTATGCGAGCATTACTTTTATATCCTATATCTTTTTGTTTTGCCATGCCGTTTCTGAAGTAAAGTATTCTGTAAACAATTCTTATTTCCTCCTTTCGTAAATCCATTTTGAAGTGTTTGCTCTTGTGAAACATTATTCAAATTTACATTTGAACAATTGTATCTGTTTGTACAATATTTTCCGAAAATCCGAAAGCCGCTCGGTAATTCAATGATATAACAATAGCATATTATTATATTGAAAGCAAAAATCATTTTTTTGTGATGAAGCTGTAGTATTGACGAACGTCGACAACCGCAGCGGAATCACAAAAATTGTATTTTGCTCAGAATACTACAAGCAATTTTTGCTACAATGGCATTTTTGAGTGGAATAGATGCTAGTACAGTACAGACATTAGGGATAACCAGAAATTTTCAAAATTAAGACGTGTGAGATATTCAGATTATTTCTAATCAGTATCTACTAGTACTGAGTTCAGGATTTTCAGCAATAGAATTTAAAGCTGCTTCTTCAATTTCTGGAGTTCTTACGGCTCGATGGGCCCCTTTTAAACGATTATTTGCCATCAAAGTATCTCTTCCAGACAACCTTCCATGTACCGTGCGTTCAATTTATCTTGATAACAAAATGTAGGGCTGGTAGCCAAGTTTTTTTCCAAGTGACGTATAAAACAATTTGTTGACATATCATCATGTATTTTTAAATGGAACACCCTGTATATTATATGTGTTTAATAGAATATCTTTTTCCATTTTAGTCCATTTGTTTTTGACAAATCCGCAAAAATAGGAAATTTTTATACAATTTCAAAAAGTGCCGTGACTGACTGCCGCAATTGATTGGTACCCCTGGGTTTTTATTTCGTGTATTTGTCTGGGATTATTTAAATAACCATTTCTGTTATGTCCATTTAAAAAAATTCAAACAAAACTGCATCCTCCTTTGACATTGTTTTGCATTTAGTTTTTGAGTTTTACGAAGTTTCCTATTTTTGCCGATTTGTCAAAAACGAATGGACTAAAATATTGATAGGGTTTTCTTTTATACTTCACTTGACTACTAGCCCGACATTTTGCTTTTTGATTACCTTGATATCCCTAAAAGCAAAAAAGATACAGCCAATTAAAATGGTTTCAAGATAAATTGAACGCACTACCGTGCGTACCCATGTAATGTTCGCATATCTGGTTTGACTCTATTAGAAAAGCGCAGACTACTACAATGAAAAGAAATAATGATAAAGATTTGAAAAATGCACTTCGTACTTCAATTTCTTGAAGTATTTTAATAAAACAGATAGACAATTACTTAAGAAAGAAATAATAATGGTCTTGATAAATGTCATTTTAAGAATAATTGTAATTTTAAAAGAAATCAGTGGCGTACCATCAATTTCTGCCAAAATTGACAGGTGAAATTTCGTACGCCCGGCGCTGGGGTATTATAAAAAAATTGTGGCATATTAAATAATGCCTCTTTACCGAGAAGATTTTCGTTTGCTGGAGAACCTGTATATATTCGTATTGCGTCGGTACGTTTTGACGGATGTATGCCTGGTTTATTGTGATGTGGCAAAGGCCATTTATTATTCTCCATTCTATGTTTTTTGTAGCGCAAATGTCTTCGTCCTTCTCGCTAACAATAGGATTTAAAGTTTTACAACTTTAGCCCGTCTCTTTTACTTTTTTCGAAATCCCAATCCCAAGTCAAACTGTGCTAAATTTAAGTACCACTATTAATAAAACTCGCCCTCTACAAACACATTTTTTAATTTAAATTAGTATATGAGTTACGTCACATAGAAAAATAAAATATCCGTGGGGAAAAAATCATTAAAAATGGGGCGACAACAGTACCTCCTCGAATCGACTAGAACACAGTTCTTATGGCAAAAACAATTCTAAACTCTACAACCTTCTCGATGGGTATGGCAGACGATGGCGTAATTTAGTATTTCCTCCGGAAGGGGTCCTTGGTGTAGGCGCCTCTCCTCGCCTCCTGGTAGATCTGGTAGAAGAAGCTGAACGCCACGTACCACATGTACGAATACAGTACTGGAAATTGAAACTCGATTGTAGCGGATTAAAAACAGCCTCAAGTGAGATCTGACTTACCGAAAGCGATCAAGCCGATGACCAACCACAGGGTGCCGTTGAAGGAGTCATCGCTGGTGTAGAAATTGATGCTGGTAATCAAGACGGAGACCAGGAGGCCGATGATGAGCATTCCTCCCAGTACCACCCACGGCATCATTATGTAAAAGTTGCGCTGCAAAGGTAAACTGGTTTGCAAAGAGGATCGAATTAGGTCACAAGGTTTACCTTTATTGTGCCCACTATCAGGAGTATTGAAAGGATGATGGTGACGCAGAGATTCACTATAAGGATGATCTCGACTGTAACAGACGGAAAATGGTATCAGCTAAATAAATTTTATCTGGTTTTCGCAATCCCGAACTTACTGGCGAATTCTGACAAGAAAGAATCCAGAATGATCATCCGCAACTCGACGTTGATGATGTCCAACATTTTCAGCACTATGACGAGGATCGTAAAGATAGATAATATCTGGAAAAAAAGTAGTATACAACAATATTCCGTGTTGCTTATTATTATTACTAGGAGGGAAAATAATAGCCAAAGGAAGCCAATTTTGGAAACATTTTCCACAAAATATCGTATACATTAATTGTACATGCACCCTGTGTAAAATGTACTTCACATCTCGTCGAACTTCAAAGTTACAGCAAACATAGCAAACAAACAACAAACAAACAAACAAAAATAGCGATTAATTATGTGATAGAAAATGCTGATGAAATGCTAGCTTCAGTATATCCGGTATCTGCGACGCGACGCTTGCATAAAAACTTTATATATATAACAACTCTGTGCTTTGCGTCCAGTTCTCCTTGTAGCAGGTTAAAGAAAACCTCGTAGTTCTGTTTGCAAAATAAAAAAGTGTTTTTTAAAAACGAGATCCTTCGTTTGAAAACCTTAACTGGCGCAGTCAGTAGGATTTGGGGTAGTTTTCGGTCAAAGCCACGTCATCGGGACGATTTGATCGCGAAACGTGGGTTTCAACCCTTAAACTCCAAAACGAACCTGTGATAGACTGTCTGACAAACCCAACGTGATTGAGTTCGACTGAGGGCAAGGAAGGCAAGAAATCACCCCCGCAAGCAGTGCTACGCAAGGAAAATTCCAATAGGAAGAATAGGCTGACGACTAAGAGAAATCAAGGTTAGTGCCCAAAATTCCTATTGTTCTCCTTTCATCTTCCCTGGTTAGGACGGTGGAAATAATTTTAAGGATTCTTAGTTTTAAGTTCAATTTTAAGAAATTTCAAAATCAATTAAATTTATGAACGAAGATAAAGACGTCGACAATTTAAGTGCGTTTTTTACTTCATTAAATTTAGTGGAAAAGAAAGTAGAGAATAGTCAAATTAATTTGAAAATGAATTCTAATCAATCGTCGAATTCAGGTGTAAATTACACTTTGTTAAAAATGTTTATAGATAGTATTCTGCCATATAATGGTGATTCCAACACTTTAAATAGTTTTCTATCAGCTGGAGATTTCCTTTTTGATACATATGGTCAAGGAAACGACGAAATTTTAAAACAATATTTGTTAAGAACTATAAGAATGAAACTTGTTGATCGCGCACAAATTCTAGTAGGCTGTAGAATGGAGTTAGTAACGTGGGACAATATTAAAGTAGCTTTGTTAAATTGTTTTGGCGATAGACGAAATTTAGAATGTTTAGAACAGGATTTGTTTATGGCCACCCCCTTTAAAAATGAACATCCTTTAGATTTTGGGAAAAGATTACAAGTTTTAAGAAGTATCCTTGCTCAAAAAATTAATGCATTTCCTGCCGATACTATGGATAATGCAAGCAAAGTAATTCATTTACGTCAATACGATCAAATTTGTTTAAGGACGTTTATTAGAGGATTACCAGGACAATTACAAAGTATTATAAGACTTAAAAATCCGAGCTGTATAGAATTAGCTATGACCCAAATTATTGAAGAGGAAAATTTTCAATATACACAAAATATCTTCAGAACTCCAATTCAATCAAAAGTTTTACCTAATACTTCTATCGAACCCGTTAAACAATTTTCACAAAATCCAAATTATTTTAGTAACCAAAATTTTAATTATGTACAACCGATTCGCCCTACAAATTATTTTCAAAACAATAATCACCATAATCAAAATTTTAGAATTAGGCATGATCAAAATCAGTTTACTCCCCAGACTAATAGTTTTCCCAGAGGTCCAATTAATATGCCTCAACCACGCGAAGTTCCAAGAAATTTTCCTACAAATAGGCAAGTTTTTGGCCCACCTAAAAACGTATTTAAACCGACAGGTCAGGTACCTAACAATAAACCCGAACCTATGTCAACAAGAACAAACTATACTATACCACGTCAAAATAATCAAATTAACCATTTCAAACCTACTGGCCCTAGAAATTTTATTTCGCAAGAATTATACCAAATCGACGAAAGTAACGCGGTACAAACAGATGAAACATCTGCGGTATTTCAAAATGAAAATATTCACCAAGACGAATACTCTGAAATTGAATTTTCAAATCAATCTGAATACTTTAATGACACTCAAAATTTTGACGAACACCCTGAAATTGAAAATCAAATCTCTCAAAATTTTACAATAACGAGCCAATGCGACTCAACGAAATGACATTAGAAATGTATACCGAAATTAATAATAGTTTACCGTACATCCAGATTAAAGAACCCGCAATTAAACTTTTAATTGATACTGGTTGTTTTCACTCGATTCTTCGACCTTCCATTGCAGAAAAATTTTATTATGAAAAAATATATCATTCCCCAACTATTATTAAAACAGGAACTGGTGAAAAGGAAACTCTATTTAAAGCAGATATTCCGGCTTTCCCAGAATTAAAGGCTAATACCAACCTATCTTTTATCCTTTTTGACTTTCATAAATTCTTTGACGGTATAATAGGATTAAACGACCTAAAACGTTTTAATTTTTCTATCGATCTTGTTAATAAACAATTAAGGAATAATACAACTAATATACCAATTTTATTTAGACAACCACAAAACGAAGTATATTGTATTACTGTGAATGCACACGAAATTGTTAACGTAAGAATTCCAGTAACACAAAACAATGATGTTATTATTCCCGAGCAAGTCATTGAAGGTCTCTATTTTCCAGAAACACTTACTACTGCAAAAAACGGTTTTGCGCAAACAGAAGTTTTTAATTACACTGAGAAAAATATAACGTTAAATTTCCCACAACCTCTAAAAGTTTTATCTTTTCCGGACTTTCATAAAGAAAATTTTGAACTTTTTAATTTAGAACACATCTTACCAAAACATAAAGAACAATTTAGTAAATGCGACATTTCCAAAATAATTCGTTGCGAACATTTAAATTTAGAAGAAAAATCTGCTATAATAAGGCTTTGTAAAGAATATAACGATATTTTCCATCATGAAAACAAAAAGTTAACGTTCACCAATAAAATCAAACATTGTATAAGAACAACGGATGAATTGCCTGTATACACTAAATCATATAGATACCCCTTTATCCATAAAGAGGAAGTTCAACGGCAAATTAATAAAATGTTAGACGACGGCATCATTAGACATAGCCAAAGCCCTTGGAGCAGCCCCATTTGGGTAGTCTCGAAGAAACCTGACGCCAGCGGCAAGCAGAAATGGAGGATTGTCTGTGACTTTCGTAAGGTAAATGAGAAAACGATAGACGACCGCTATCCATTGCCTAATATAAATGATATACTCGATAAATTGGGACGGTGTAATTATTTTTCAACTATCGATCTTTCATCTGGTTTTCATCAGATCGAAATGGATCCGGAATCAATTGAAAAAACAGCTTTTAGTGTCGAGAATGGTCATTTTGAGTTTGTTAGAATGCCTTTCGGATTGAAAAATGCCCCCGCGACATTTCAGCGCGTCATGGATAATGTTTTGCGTGATGTACAGGGAAAGGTTTGTCTAGTATACATGGACGATATCATAGTATTTTCGTCATCCCTAGAAGAACACATCAAACATCTTAAACTTGTTTTCCAAAAACTGCGACAAGCTAGACTAAAAATTCAACTAGATAAAACGGAATTCCTACGAACCGAAGTAGAATTTTTGGGTCACATAATAACAAAAAACGGAATTAAACCGAATCCCAAGAAAATTATTGCAATCCAGAAATTTCCTGTACCGAAAACAGCAAAAGACATAAAATCTTTTCTAGGCCTTCTAGGATACTATAGAAGATTTATTAACGGATTTGCAAAACTCACCAAGCCATTCACAAATTGCCTAAAGAAAGGAGCGACCATCAAACACACGCCAGAATTTCTAGAAGCATTCGATCTTTGTAAAAATATCTTGTGCAATGATCCAATACTACAATATCCAGATTTCGAAAAACCTTTTATATTGACAACGGACGCCTCTAATGTTTCTATAGGAGCGGTTCTCAGCCAAGGAAAAATTGGTAGTGATCTTCCCATAGCCTTTGCCTCTAGGACATTGAACCCGGCTGAAAGCAATTACTCAACCATAGAGAAAGAATTATTAGCAATCGTGTGGTCAACAAAATATTTCCGACCATATTTATTTGGCCGAAAATTTGTGATAGTTACCGATCACAAACCTCTACAATACCTGTTTAATATGAAAGAACCAAATTCCAGATTGCTAAGATGGCGACTAAAACTGGAAGAGTTTGATTACATAGTTCATTATAGGAAGGGCAAACTGAACACTAACGCTGATGCCCTATCACGCATCGAACTAAATATGATAGATAAAGAGTCACTTTTCGGAAATCCTGGAGATATTAATGAAGATATCGATAAATACATACATGAAGAAGATCAAAATATAAGCCTTGAACAATTGGAACAAATTGAAGACGTGTTTAACCCTCTAGAAAATGTAAACACTCCAAAAATTAATATCATCTCGGACATTCAAATTAAACCGCCAAATATTCCTAATACTGGTAAGACAGTACACTCAGCAGCTGAAGATCCAATATTAAATATACCAATTACCGAAAATATTTTAAATACTTACTCTAATCAAATAATATTTAACCAAAAAACAAACGGTCGTTATCACGTGATTAGGAGTTACCCATTCCAAAATAAATCTAGATTTTCTGTTTATTTAAGTCAAAACTATCAAAATGAAATAATTAAATTCTTTTTAGATTATTTGGATCCAACAAAAATGTACTGCCTTTATGTACAAAACACCGAAATAGATTTAAATCGAGAACTATCTGTTTTGTTACCAAATACATTTAAAAACCGTGCTTACAAATTGGTAATATCGAAAACTCTTTTAACTGACGTCACTGACAGGACAAAACAAAAAGACCTAATTGCATATCATCATGAAAAAACCTGTCATCGAGGAATTAATGAAAGCCTAATAGCATTAAAAAGGCTCTATTATTGGCCAAATATGAAAACTGATTTAACTGAATATATTAATAATTGTGACACG